TTCTGACCTCCAACTTTAACTTCTGAAAAGAAATAACAATTTGTTTTTAAATTTCCCTAATAAATCATTTTTATCACAAGTTATCTACCATCGCCTGACTAAGTGCTATCTTAGTATTGAACATGAAAATTTTTGTGTAGTGATGTAAAATGTTTTTATTGTAATTTATTATAATATATATGAAAAGTCAAAAAAAACTTCTTAGTGATGTGTTTCATTCTGAGAAGGCAGTTTAAATGACTGTTGTATTGATGGGATCAGTCTTTTATATATTTGTATAATAAAACAAATAAGGATGCTTTAAATGCTTGATATAAAATATATAAATAGACCCAATACACAAAATATAAAGTAAACAATACTCAAATAGAATGGCTTTTCCACAACGTAGTTTCATGTGGACGGTGCAATCTCCGGAGGTTCAGTCTACAAAACTCTAGAGTCAGTATATATAACAGATTGAGTAAAAATCCACTGTTTGTAGCATTTACTTTTAAAAATTTCTCAATACAAGGTAGAGCAATATATTATTATATTTTTATTATAAGAGATTATAATAAAAACATGTTGAAAACACTACACAAAAGTTTTCATGTTTCAATACTATGATTGTACTTCTTCAGGTGATGGTAACAGTTACTTACCATTGCCTGAAGAAGTACAATCATAGTATTGAAACATGAAGGCTTTTGTAAATGATTTCAGCATGTTTTTATTATAATCTCTTATAATAAAAATATAATTATATATATATATATATATATATATATATATATATATATATATATATATATATATATAAATATGTATGTATGTATAAGTGTATTTAAGCAGCAATAAGTCATCTGAGCAAGTTTTATTAAATTAAACTGACAAATTGTATTTTTTCAGTTTTTAAGTAAGATGACGTATATTGGGTTCAAAATTATGGATAAACTGTTTTTTCTGTTTTCATTATCAAGAACTGGGTGTTGTCAATATGGTAGACAAGGTTTTTCTACATTTTTAGATCGATATATAGATATATATATATATATATATATATATATAAACCACCCCCACCTTTTCCTTGTTAAGAGAACATTGCTACATATGTAATGCTACAATCTTGATAATTACAATGACAATTGCATATATATATGTATACACAAATGCATGGATGTGTAACTGCACCTAACCTCAGATTATTTATGAGTGTGTTTGTATGAACTAAAATGCATACACCTGTATGTATGTGTGTCTATGTATGAGAGAGTGTCATCCCAAACAAACACAGAAGAAAATTCCCACCTCCACCACACACAAATAAACATAAATAGATCCACTTTTGAAATAATAAACCAGTTTGTCTGATGATCATAAAAGCATGAAACCCAGGGTTACAAACTATTTCCATGTGACTGAATATATATATATATATATATATATATATATATATATATATATATATATATATATATATATGTGTGTATAAGAAATTATTATAGATCTATTTTAAGATTCATGCATAAGTATATTTTATTTTATCGAAAAGAATAGCAGCTTCTCAAACTCTGGAATTGGCTTTCAAAAAATTTGCCACAATATTTAAAGGGATTCATGAACTGGTGTTTACATATGAACCCTCAATGAAAAAAGACTTTTTTTAGTTTTTTCCTATTGGGTTTGTACTGATTGCATTGGCGGGTTGCCCTGAGAGATAACATCCTGTCCATCAAGTGCAGATCCATGCGAACACATGATTAACCCAGCTGTGTCTGTGATGTGTATGACAGATGTATAAACACCCACTCCAAAAAGAGCAATCTCATGCATTCTTGTAAGGATGTAGAACCCACGTTTAAAGAAGGTGCTAAATCCGCACACCTATTGCTTTCTTCATATTGCTTTTTCTTTATTCTGAATAGTCCTTTGACTGACCGCCATTGAAGGCTAGAGAAGCTAATGTACTTTACTATTTAACCCATAGCTAAACGGATTCATGCCTTTCCCAATAGAGCAATAGTGAATGCTGATTCCACTTAAATTCATTGTTTCAGTAATTGATAAATCAATTATAATAATACTGTAATTAATTTGGTAAAATTATTTTTTTTTTAGAATAATAGATGTAAAGTGAAATTTAGACAAAGCATTGATAATTATTTACTCAACTGAGTGTAAAATGTAAATTTTGAGGCACACTCTTCTTCGGGCTTTTTTTTTTTTTTTTTAATTACTAAAAAATAAAATAAATTGTCTGGAAGCCTGTGTAATTTTAAATAGTCTTAGGAAAAATTGTTGTTAAAAATAATAAAATAAAGAAGAGGAATAATAAACACTACTGAGAAAAGAATAAAAAGAAGAGGCAAAAATTGTTGTAGTGAAAGAAATAACAAAGAAAATGATGGAGAGAGAGAGAGAGAGAGAGTGATCGAGTATGAAAGAAACCTTAATAAAAATAGATTTTTTTACCAGAGAAAAACTAATGAGAACGAGGGAATTAATAGTGAGAAAATAAAGAAACAAGTGGAGGAGAAAAGAGTAAATGAAGTAAAAAAAAAAAAAAAAAAAAAAAAAAGAAAGAAAGAAAACATGAACGAGATGAGAAGAAAAATAAAGAAAAAAAAGGAGGGTGAGGGAGATATAGAGAAAGAAAAAGAACTAAAAATAAATTAATATTTATTGATAATAAAGTCAAAAAAAGTCAGTATTATTCCGAAAATTATAATTTCCCCGAATACAAAAAAAAAAAAAAAAAAAAACATTGCATTTTTACAGTTTTTACTCTACTGACATTTAGAGATAAACACTACACATTTACACATAAAAAAGAGAAAATAAAGAAAAATCATTCATTTGTTTTCAAGTCAAGATCATTCATCTCTGCAGTTTTCTTCTCGCCCCCTGCTACAGCTTTGACGCCAGCGAAGGAGAAAAATGAAACGAACATTTAGTATCGATCTGATAGAATTATTCATTGATTGTTCCTGCTTTCATTAAGCTCAGGCCTTTTTTTATGGTTTGTGTAGCAAACAGCGTCAAATCAAGTTGAATGACCTGCTCGCCTCCAGTTACTGCAAAAAGCACGCACGGGGTGATGAAAGGTTCTCAGCCAAACCCACTTCCAAAATCAGTATTTCAATAAGCAAACATAAGAAATACTGATTTTGGGAAGTGATTCGTGGTTAGTAAAAGATAGTGTTAAATTAAAGAAATAAGAACGGGTAGGGCTTCTTGAGAATCACCATTTTTCTAAAAATCTGCAGGGTTCAGATTCAATCTCTTTTTTTTTTTATCAACATAAGACAGAGAAACATAAACCCCGAATTTATATTGTACGGTATTTAACTTACACAATAAATTTAATTGAAGAATCGTATCAAAAAAATTAAACTACAATTTGGAGATTAGCAGTTTTAATTATTTTTTTTTTTAAATCCCGACTCAGTTACATAAACAACAAGTAACAAAAAAACTAAAAAAACAAAAGTGAATAAGAAAAAATAAAGTATACTGCCATAATTTTGATTTTAAATTACTTAATTATGTATTAAATTTAATTTTCTCGGAACAGGGTGAAACTCAGAGACTGGTTTTGACTTTTGACGGTGGGGAAAGTATAGAAGAGAATACACATGCATATCGATCACATTGATTTATCACCCAGTCAGTGGTACATTACAATGATTTAAACGCGTGTAGTGTTGTGAGTAGGAAAGCGGAAAGCGACATGAAGGAGACACTGAAAAAAAAAAAAAATGATATGCGGATGATATTTTTGAATTTTGATCAATCTGAATGGGAACGGGGACAGCGGAAAAAAAATAAAAACATCAATAAATAACACCCCCATCTTTCCTACCTATTGTTTAGTTTCCTTCAACTAGGCTCGACGTACGCCAATAATGGGTCAATTTACCGACGAGAGATGAAAGAAATAATATAAAAAATTAAAGAGGGCCTTTCAAATAGTAAGTTAGTATCCAAGAAATAGTTGCCCTACAAATTAGTTATTAACACCTTTTTTTGTAATATTTTTTTACTTTTCTAGTAGCAAACCAATGCATTTTTTTTTTTACCTTTTTCTGCTTTTCATCATCGACAGTGTTCTTCTTTTTGGAGCTAAAATATTTTGTTTCCGTTAAAAAGTTCTCAGAATCGGGCTCTACGTATGTTTATTACTTGTTAGAGGCTTTATAAGATAAAATAGGAATCGTAATTGGTAGTTCCAAGTGACTGACCAAAAATATATAAAAAAAAAAAAAAAAGGGTTGGTCATTGGTCACCTCGTGTCATCAGTCTCAAAAGATCATTTGATTTTTACTTTGTGTAATTTAAATTAATTCGATGTTAAGCAACTTGTTACCGTATCTGGAATTGGGTAGCTGATTGATAAGTGTCAATATTATAAATATAATGTATTGGAACAGTAACACTGCATTAAAAATATTGATTAATCGATTTGAAATTTTATACAGCTTTTTACACATTAATAGACAGACAGAACAGAACTCACCGTTCAGAGGATGAAGAAGAAAGGAAAAAGCGAGAAAAGAACGAGTTACAAGCAAGAGCTGAGAAGTAGATACAAGGTGAGCGTGTCAGATTGGTTTTAAGGGACGGATCGGAGTGAGCAATCTCTCTACCTTTAAAAAGCCAGGCAGGTGCAAAAGAAAAAAGAAAAAAAGAATTATGTAAGGGGAGATTACTCTAGTGGATCAGGTAAGAGGAAATATTGCACTCTTTTGTCAAGGGAGATAACCAAGAGTTTTTTGTTTTAATTCCGTCCTTTCAGGCAGGTTGACCGAAAAGCCGGTTTACTCAGTTCAATTTTTAGGCTCCCTTCGTTGTCTTCTGTCGGTCGACAAAATAATTTAAAAATATTAACCTTTAATTCATGATTTAGTATTAAGCATACTCACTGTTTTCTTACATTTTTAAATTAATATAATTTACAAACATAAAACTAGAAGACGAGAAGTAAACAAATGGATCTGTTAGGTTCTATCCTTGGTTCTATGGAGAAACCTCCTTCAATAGGAGACGAAAAAGCTAAGAAACGGGCAAAAGGTGAGGGCTTTTTTTTGTTTAGGTTTCTTTTTAAAACAATAAAAACGTTTTAAATTTTATCTTGTGTGAGGTTTTGATGATTGTATTCAATTCTAAAACTGAAAAATATAGATCGTTTTTGTTTATTAAATGGAAAGCTTCCCCTATCATCAAAGAAAAACGAACAAATCTCCAAACAGCTAGATTTCTTTTTGTATCATTCTCAGATCCTCTGTCATTTTTTTTTCATTTTTATTTTCGATTTACCATATTATCTTAACTTTTTGCGATGCAGTATTTTTAGTGTTAAGGATAATTGCGACCTATTTTTTTTTTTTATAAATTTTAACTTAAAATTCCTAAGTCTATACTTTTTTTAATTTCTATCATTTTTTACTTTTACAAAGCAGTTATTATTCCAGCTTTAAATAACAAACACTGAATGAATTATTGTCTAAAAAAATCAGCAAACACTAAAATTAAGAAGCCATTTATTTTATTTTTTTTTTAATATTTATGATTTTTTTTCCCCCCAAGTGATTTAAGATTTGTTGACAAATAGCCTATTGTTTCATTTTTCCCGGAAATATTTCTTAAATTATATATTTTTTATCTTGTTTAAAGTTTCGATTTATTTTTAAAATGAAAGTCATCACTAATATTGAATCAATATTATTGATTATTTTTTTTTTTAAATTCTCGTATAATTTCATTTCTTGTCCCTTTCCTCAAACAACGCAAATTAACCGCCAATAAATTATTTAAAAAAAAATTTGTGCTTAAAAAAGTTACTTTTTTTTTTGTATGTCCCCATTGTGGTTACTTGTATTTAAACTTAAAGAATAAATTTAACTTTGCGATACATGGTAATTAAACCGCATTTTTTTATTTTAAACATCGAACAGATACGATAGCCCCCTTTCTTTTGGCGGTGTTTTATTTTTCCCTTTAAAAAAAAATAACGAAATTTTTTAATAGACTTGTAGATGAAAAAGTAAGAAAGAAATTTTATATTGTTTTAACAAGCTTTTAGTAATTCCATAATGTCGAAACGTTATTTTGTTGACTACTTTTTTTTTAAACAAAGTCGGACTAAAATTTGGTTACGAAATTTATTTTAGAGTTGCATTATAAACTTAAAAACGAAATTAAACGAATCTTGAAGTTAAAACAAAAGTGTGGATAGTGCTTCTGATCAAAAAACAAAACAAAAAACAATGAACTCGAAATAAATTTCTTTGACTTAGAGAGCTAGTATTTATTTAGATAAAAAATGTTTTTGTTGAAATGAAACTTTATCACTTTTTAGTTTAAATGACGATGGTGAAAAAAAGCATTTCGTATTTTTTATTACCAACAATTATATGATCACATTGTTTTTTTTTTTTTTAATAGAGTGAGGGGGAGAACTTGAATTAGTCTATGTTAAAAAACGTATTTAAAAAAAAAAAAAATTTACCGTTCAATAAATTTCTGCAAAAAAAACACTGAATTACCTCCACTAGTTCTATAACTTCATATTCTGTATCTTCCTTTTGGAGTTGAAAAGTCGTGTGTCAGAAACAAAACGAAAAATAACGACCGAAATGCAGTATCATTTATTTCAACTATTTGTTCCATAAATAAAAACTGAAATTCAATTTTTGTGTTCCAAAGTGGGTTCAGAATATGAGACTAGGTAAAGAAAATGAGGGATATGTAAGGGAGGTAATTCGGAAATTGTTTACGGTCATTAAATTAACAATATACCCAGTTAGTCTCGCCTCCAATCCAATCTCGCCTTTAAATAAATGATCAGAAAATATATTGAAGTAAAAAAAGTCCTAGTTGAAAACGCAAATGTTTATATTGTAAATTTTGTAAAATCCATTGGAACTCAACCTACATTATTTGAAACATCGTTTCCTCAATCTTTGTAAAGTTTCAATTTTCATTGTACAGGGTGGTCCGAAAGTTTTAATAAACCTCTGTTCCAAACTGTAGGAGCTTGTGTCAGTCAGTCAGTTATATACCATAGCTATAGAACCTGGTCTGTCCTGCTATTTTACCCGTAACTGGGGGGGGGGAGGGTATTCCCAAGCATTAACATGTAAGTGAAATGCAATGGATTCGACTGGAATTTGAACTCAGCTCTTCCAATTCCTTAATCCGAGCCGATGTCCATTACTCCACTGTGCCTCCTTTCGTGTCAGCTATCTGAAATAGATTATATTATGTAGAGGTGACAAGACTTTCGGACTACCCTGTATATATTTTTCAAACTACTGCAATGTGTTAGTGTTTTGTTTATTTTATTTTACTTTTTTTGGGGGGAATGGCTAATTCGTTTCAACTTTTTGTCTACTACATTTATCCATGCTTTTTAGCATAAAAACATTTTATATATGACTGACAGCAGAAATAGTTAAAGAAAAAATTATTGGTGATATTGTTTTGAAAATAAAAATTCTGTATGAGGTTTTCACTAATTTAACAAAACTTTCGAAACTGATCGCACCGCTTCCTGAAGAATGGATGACCTGTGCCTTCGTGTCTGGATTGCCTAGTCATGTTAAGCAGATACTCCGTGCATCATCCAGAATGGAAGACATGACGCTCAATCAATTGTTGACCAGAGCCCGTGCTATCATGATCGACGAAAAAGAGGCTGATTAACCAGTGACCGCAGTCGTTCAGCCAGTTGAAGTCAAAGAGAATCCGACCCCAGCCATCCGTCGCCATGGCGATGTCACCTGCTATCGGTGCTCTGGGCTGAATCATTTTGCCAAAGACTGCCGCTATCAACACAAAACCATGTGCAGCGGGTCGGCGCGAAAGGCACGTTTCAACCTATGATGTTTCCAATGTCATAAAGTAGGTCACATTGTCTCTAAGTGTCCGGGAAATAGAATGGGGGATGCAACGTCAGCCGGTCTCTTCTCCACACCAAGCATGAAAGAGGCGCTCCCTGTGATTAAGGTGCGCATCAATGGAATAACGCGTACCGCTTTAGTAGATTCGGGCTGCTCTTGGTCACTCATGGACGGTTCGATTTGTCGACAGTGGAGCTGACAAAAGATAAAAGCTCTCAGAAGCTGGGGAGTTGGAAACATCAAACTCACTATCAACAACGGTAACCCCGTTACAGTCAGCATGTTGGTCGTGGACAGCGCGTTATTAGGTTTTGATCTGCTCCTTGGGATGGACATTATTAAGGAGCTGGGCGCCATACGCATCACAGAGGCGGGCGAAGTTGAGTTTTCTGATCCGCCCATCTGTGCTGCTTTGAGGATTAACGAACCTGACTTCAGTGCAACTTTCGACCAGCGCTGGCATGTATGGACTGCAACGTGGAAGTGGGCAGGTGGACGAACGCCCACGCCACTGAAAAATAAAATAGCAGAGTACCCGGTTCCAGAGCATATCAGGAGCGAATACGAAAGTGATTGCAGCCAGGAAGCGATGTTCGATCCCCGAAGCAGTCTATTGGTATAATGCGACGCCTAAAGATGGTGTTTCGCCTACAACAGCACCGGCTAACATGGTGCACGCCTATCACTTACGGCTGCGAGGCATTGACATTGCAATGGCTCCGAGCAACGCACAAGCTAAATACAGAATTGGTGATGTAGTGTGGGTTAAGACCCCCGCACAACAAGTGTACGGACAAGCTTAGAATGGGGCATGTTACCGAGATTATCAGCCCGCAGTCAGTGCGGGTTGATGGAGTGCCTTGTCATGTTAAAGACTTGCGGCCAGTTGTAGGGCTAAAACTGTCATTAGATGATGAAAGTAACTCTGAAGATGGTGCACGAGTGGTGTATTTAAAGTCGGATCCACTGAGTTCTACCTCAAACATCAGTACTCTACCTGCGGACGTCAATGTGGCCAGCTGTCCAGAGGCGGATAGTAGCTCAACGGATGAGAGTTCATCCAAGGATGAGGACCCTGTCATCCCGCTCAGAAGGAGTGCCCGGCAGAAGAGGCCTGCCCCGAGTTGCACGTTGTGCTAGCGAGACACGAGATGAATCTGGAAATCTGCCATGTGTGGTTATCCCAATATGTCAAGCGTGCAAGTTGTATATATGTGGACGCAGTCACCAGACAGACTCGACCATCTCTTGAACTGAGAAGCTTTGTGATCTTAAGATCAGGGGGGCGTGTAATGAGTTGGTCGGTCAACTTGACACCCTCAAAGCGAGTGGAGGTGGGCAGGCGCGGGAACTGTGATTGGTAGCTGGCTTGTTAGTGTTTTGCATAGGTGAGTTACCAAGCTCTATGTAAAGGGCTGGAATGAGAAGGAGGGCAGTGTTTTTCAGTCTCTGAAGTGGAGACTGTGTCCGTCGCTACGACAGCAGGAGAGAAAGAGACGAAGTCATTTATTTTTTCGTGATGCATTCCAACACGGGCATGAACCCCCTTTTTTAGCCCCTCTCCTTTTCAGCTCAATCATGGAACTATTAATGCTAAGAGGAAGATTATGATAAAACTTTCACATTTCTAATTAAAAAATAGGGCTTTAGATCTAGAAATCCTGGTTCACAGTGAAGAGCCCAAATTCTTAGGACTTTTTGCATCCAGTACTACCAATGGATGTGCAGCACAGTGTAATGGATATCAGCTCAGAACGAGAAATTGGGGATCTGAGTTCAAATTCCAGTTGGGTTCGTTACATTCCTTAACATGAAAAATATCCTTTGGGTTAAATAGTAGGACAGACTGGGTTCTATCCAGCTATGGGTTAAATAGCAGGGCAGACTGGGTTTTATAGCCTTGGTTGGCAATCTTTCTTCTTCCTAGAATCATGAATTGAAGGAGACAAGCCTGTATCATTGTATGGCACTTAACTGACTTTCCACCAAAAACAGATCTGAAAATGATGTCAAAAACTGATATTTGGTATTTGACATATTGTTCCAAAAGTGGGTAATGATCAATTTAATATATGAAAGAAACTGCATTTTAAATATTTTACAGAGAACAATTTTATTACATTTGTTTTAATATTTGGGAACTTACACTAAAAAAAAGAAAAACTTTTATCTTGGGCATTTTTTGTTAGTATTATTCAAAGTTGGTCAGAGATAAAAAAAAAAAATAGGCAAAAAATTGTTGATTTAACTGGATTTTGTGATGTAGGGGCTCCTAAATCCTCTTGATATAAGTTCTTTTTGAAAAAGAGTGTCAAGTTAAACCGGTCTGTCACTTATCACTTTCATTTCAACAAAATTCCAATGATTTTCCTAACAAAAAGTGGCAGAAAAAGCCAACTATCTAGTACTGATGATTTAAAAGTAAACAATTAAATATGTAAGCTTTAATTAAATGATCATAACCTGACAAAAACTTGGCATCCAGACAAAGACCAGTTCTGAAATCCCAAGATTTTACTTTTAGACTATATATAGCAGGGTTTAGCAACCTAAACAATATCACTCACTGGTGGGCAATTTCAACTGTTAGGTAAGCGATGAGCAACTGAACAAAAAATGCTGGGTGATTGGAAATTTTGATGGGCTATATAGTATTAAAGAAGTATTTCAACATATACTAATAAAAAAGAAGTATTCAAAGAACCTGTATAAAAAAAAAAAACAGTCGGCTAATTGGGAATAACTGGATACACATTCCTAGATAAGATATAAATATTCCTGCAAACAACAAATATTTTGGTATTTTCTATAATTTTGAGAAGGACCCTTAACATTTAAATAGTTCTTCAAGCAAAAAAACTTTTTTTTTCTTTCAATAATGGAAGAGCAAGAACAACAAAATATATTTGCTAAATTTTTATTAATTGCTAGTAGTGCAGTTTCTTTTTAATTTTATAATTTTGAACAAAAATTAATTTTTTGTCAACATTTATAATGCTAAACCTAACCATAAAACTAAATTACATATATAGTTTTCAGTGGTTAAGTTTACTTTCATTTGTTCTTTTATATAGTAGCAGCCATATAAGTCAGTGTTATTTGTTACCTCCCTTTGTTATATTTTACTACATAATAAAGTCAGTTTATGAACCAGTAACAAACTTTTACCAAAAAATTTTGGTATGCTTTTTAATATTTACTATACAGGTAGGTGATGGAAAATTTTTCCATGTGAAAGTGGGTGATGATACACAAAATGTTGTGAACCCCTAATTTATAGCATGTATCACTTAGGAATTCTTTAAAAAATGCCAAATGTTTGCTTGTAAATTCATTGAAATGTTTCTACATGACCATTATATAGTTATCAATATATTGACATGTTCATGTTTTTGTTTCTTTTTACAGAACAGAATGCTATGTTACAGAAAAAACAAGAGGAAGATAAGGCAAGGTTGGAGAATTTTCGAGTTAAGGTGAGTAATTTTCAATTTGTGGTTATGGATGTGTATTCCACCAACATATAAAATTGACAGCAAATATGCAGATTTTTAATCTTTTATTGCTAGAGTTTAATAATTGTTATAAAAACAAATATATTTAAAATGAAGAGGAAATTAGATAAAAAGAAAATACAGCTACTGTAAATGTCAACTAAAAGAAAATTAGAATCATCTAATCGGTTTTTATTCCTCTATCATCAGCGCTCAATTGAGAAAATATATATATATAAGTTTAAAATTCACTTTATCTGCTACCTTGGTTTCAACTTTATGGTATCCTCAGGCGATTTTTATCAAATGACCTTTTAATGTTGTTGTGTTTTTTTGTTTGTTTTTTTTTTTAACTAATAAGTGCTATATATTTTTTTTCAAAAAATAAATAAATACATGACATTGGGTGTAATAGAGAGGGAGGTGAAGGATATGAAGAAGGAAGGAGAAGTTAAAAGCTCTACATGTTATTTTTACTTTTATTTTTATCACATGCTTATTGAGCACTTTTTAATACTACTAATTCCTGGTCTGATTCAACTCTGGCCATTAACCTTTTATGTATTTTATATATATAATATATATATATATATATATATGGGCACATGGCCGAGCGGTTAGAATGTTTGTATTCTGACCATGAGACCCAGGTTTGAATCTCACCATGGTCGATCTATCAGTAAGGAGACTTTCTGGTGTTACCGGATTGGAGGGGTCGATTTCAGCATGCAGCACCTTTGGAAAGTGCTTAAAAAACCATATCATGAGTTGACCCAAGCCTTGGGGGCCATTGATAGCTGTGCTAGCACAAAGTAACAAGTCATCGTGGCTGAGAGCTTGAGTGTGCTGGCCTTATTCAAATTGTTGATCACATTAGATAACACGCCCTTTTCCAGAAACTGTAACTAAGGTCTGCTCAGCATAATTGCAGTATAAACCACAGGTAGGCTCTGTGGGTGTTGAATAAACACAAATTCACCTGAGCAAGCGTCAGCAATAGGGATTGGCTAGCCACCCTAGTAGACAGGTATCCTCAAATACAAGTGGTCAGCTATACATACAGTGTATTATATATAAATATATAAATTAGTGTATATATATATATATATATATATATATATATATTATAAATTAATTGATTTAAAATATGATTATTTTCGCTACACAGTTCCAACCATGTTTCAAAAAATAGAAGCTAAAACCCCTAATTTTATTTTTTGCAATTAAATTAAAAGCATTAGTTCCATTTCATCTTCAAGCGAATTTTGGAGTAACTTTTAAAAATTACCGGGTTTTAAAGACACAGCTAAAATCACGTTTCCATGGTTACAGAATATTCTACTCAAATTGAACAAGGGGTGTCTAGATTTTCCTTATGACAGTATCATTGTATCAGTTATTAGCTACAATTTGGTAAGGGGTAGGGATGTATTTTACACTGAAACCTGACATCAGTTGAATGGATGTCGTCTGAATTTAAAAAAAAAAAAAAAAATTGTTAACGGTTAAAAAAATTTCAACGTCATTTTTAAATTAAAATTTTTTTTTCTAATACTTTTATTTAACTACGATTTGAAATATTTTCCTTTTTAATTTTTATTTTACTATATTCTTTTTTAAGAACAGTTAAATGTATTAGAATCCATTATATTATGTAGGATTATTTTAACATTAAGTTTAAGTATGTATATGAGGTTACATTTTTTTTTTTTTTTTTTTTTTATATGACTATGACAGCAGAAATGGTTACTTAATTTCACTGATTCAGTAAACTTTTCTTTTATATATAAACCTATTATTATAATATTTAACATGTAAGTACTGAGGACATGGGTCATTCAAAAGCTTACATGTTATGGTATTTCATATTAATTTTATTTTACTATAGTTGTTATATTTGGATTCTTTTTAATGCGTGTAGTATTATTTAAAAGAAATTTAGTTTATATATATATATATTAGTGTATTAAGAAGAAATATACTTTTTAAGGTGTGCTATATTTATAGAATAAAGTGCTCAATATCAGGGATAGTGTATGCAAATATAAAAGTGAACACTTAAGTCAACACTCGGAAGTGACAGATTGTTTCATGCTAGATGCAATCACTGGCCTGATGATTGCATCTAGCATGAAACAGTCTGTCGCCTCTCTGTGTTGACTTCAGTGTTCACTTTTATATTTAAATTAGTGTATTATATATATATATATATATATATATATATATATATATATATATATATATATATATATATATATTAATTAGTGTTTTAATAAAAGTAACATTCCTTATGTCAAAACCATGGTCCGTTTTGTTACGGTGAACGACCAGTGCGGTTTGTGTGATGTTATTTAAAATGTCCCTTTTGTGTTCATTTAGTCTTTTCTTTAGACTTGGTTTCTCCAATGTATTCATTCAAGCAATGTGAAACAAAAGGCGCATAAAATGTTCTATAAATTAGTGTTTAAATTATGTTTAATTGAGATTAATTTATGTGTTATGTATTTTAAATAACATGTGGTTATGAATTGAACCATTTTCTTTTAATTTTTATAGTCATTTTTCCAAGCCAACATACATGACTATAAAAATGTTAAAAAGTTTAAAGAAAATGCTTAAATTCATTATCTCATGTTATTTAAAATACATAACACATAAATTAATCTCACACACACACATTTAGGTATTTGTGTATTTTTTTTGTTTTGTTGTTTTGCATATTATTTTATTTCCTTCCTCAAGCTCTGATGATAGAGGAACCAAAACTCGTCAGCTGTTTCTAATAATTTTTCCTTTTTTCTTTTGACACTCGTAGTAGCTCTATTTTCCTTTTGTCCATTTTCTTCTTCTCTTTTAAATATGGCTATTTTTATAGCACTGATTAAATTTTGTATCTCCAATAATATTTTCAAGTATTGCTAGAACAGTTATTTACTAGTTTTGCCTCTTGAATAGGATGTGCGGATGATGTAATGGATAGCAGTTCAGAATGAGAAATCGGAGAGCCAAGTTCGAATTCCGCTCAGGGTTCATTACATTCACTTATATGCAAATACCCTTGGGAAAGGTATTAATTCATTTCCTCCCCACAGCTATGGGTTAAATAGTAGGAATTGTATCTGGAAAAATTATTCTCAAAAAATTAACGCAATATTTGACAAAAAGAAATTCTTACAATCCACAATATGATTTGACCTTAAATAACCCACAGATTTGATAAGCTGTAAAAAAAATAAATCAGTTACTCAATCAATGCTTCTTGAATAAATGGGGTGTATCAAATAGTAGTGAGAGTCTTTCAACTTCCAACATAATAAACTTTTTTTTTACATTTAATACACCATAAAGATTGCTAAACATTCATTTTTTTTACAACATGTATTATTTGTCATCATAGAATTTTAATAAACTGAATAGGGGTACAGATAAAGTACAGGGAGTTGGTGGAGGCTCTTAATTACCAAAATTTTAATCATTTTATCGAGTTATTTAAGAGGTAAAAGTACTGTATAAGATGCCCCTCCCATCATTTGCTTTTAATATTAGGGTATTATGAAGTTAAGGGTTGTGTAGGTAGCATAAGGGCTATCAGCATGGAAAGTGAAATTGATGAGCTGAGTTCAACTTCCAGCCTTGTCTGTTGCATTCACTTCTGCACTTCAGAAAAGGCTTGATGTCTTATCTTCTCAGTAACCACCCAGCTGTGGGTGAAATAGCAGCTCTCTAGCCTTGGGGGATAACCAGTTTAAGAGAAAGACACATCTGAATTCTGGTTCGTCCGAGCGACTTAAACATCCTATTGATGATGCCATAGTTTCTTTTTCTTAATTCTTCTTTTTCTGTTATTCTTCTAGATGCAGAAGCAGATCCACACTTTCATCACAGATGGAGCCCAACAGAAACACAAATTGGAACCAATGGATAAAGTATACAGAGCAATTGTGTAAGCAAAATTTGAATTGTTTATTACATTTCTATGATTGAAGTGCTTGTAATGATGTTAACATCAGCCCTTAATTAAATTGCTGATTATACAAATATTTAATATAACATTCAATGATAATTACTTTCTTTAAATTTAAAAAAAAAAAAAAAAATTTGGCCAATCCATTGTTTGGTAGTCATAACTTTGTCTCATTGGGGTTATTTTGCTTATAATCTATCTTAGAAGACAGACAAGACACTGATGACAGCTGGAGAATGAACCAGCTGAATAACTATGTTGGAGGGACAGATATGAGCACATGAGATAGAGAACTCAGCTAGTCTCTTGAAATCAAACTTGAAAAGCATAAACCATTTTCTATGAGGTAGTTGTTTTGATACAACAGATCGTATATAGAGAGCAAGTAACAGACATTACACTCTCAAGAGGTCAAAGAACACCATTTGAGAATGAGAAAATCAAAAGTGTTGTCTAGTTGCGTAAGTCAGGTCAGGCCAGTATATATATATATATATATATATATATATATATATATATATATATATTTCAGCTTAGTGCATGTATTTTCTTTCTCAATAGAAATGAGGAAAATTATACTTTTTAAATAGTCTCACTTGAATTACAAGAATAATAGCAAATTGTGTTTGTTTTGCACTATGCTGGAAAGGTTTACTTGCTACATTTTTTATTTTTATGCTTTTATTTAGTACAAGGCTCGAGTAACTGTTAAAAAAGTTATGAATGAGGTTTGACATAAGTGAAAGAGGGGGTGGTAGGAAATGATGATTATGAGGATAAATGGGATCGATAACAATTGATCCTTGATTGTAGTTTTTCATGCAGGAGGCTACTTTACAAAGTAGAAAGTAGCAATCTGAATGGAACTTTCTCCTTGTATTTAGAATACAGAGGAAATAAGGGTGATTTGACTCTGTGGATGCAGTATGGTGTGTCTGAGCAGTAAAGGTCTGAACTGATAGATCTATTATTTAAGAGGTTCTGGCAAGTCGTAACTGTTGTGAAAACTAACAGGGAGCGAAGCACAGGCACAATTATAACAGAATGGTTGATTGTTCCTGAACTTTAAATATAGGCAGAATGGAACATCTGGGAGATGGTGGATAGCACTTGTGCATTTAGATTTATCATTAAAGCAACAGACATCCCAACAGCAACACTAAAAAGGTCAAAACTGGCAAAAGATATAACTGCCATAGTTGGCATTGCCTAGATAGTAATTATAGAAGTGTAGAAGAGAACCAGACCAACACAAAAGACCTTGACCAGGTTGCAATTGGTGTAGGTAATAGGTTTGTTCTCTTGAATAATTGGCTGCTTGGATAAAGCAGTCAACATAAAAGGTATTACTATTATATTGGTGCAAAAATAATGTCGTTTTTTGAGATCAAGTTGAACGTCAAAAAACGACATTATTTTTGCACCAACCTAATACTAAAGGACTTACGGCCACATTGCATTGAAACACCAGTCCCCATACAATCGCTGAAGTTAAGCAACGTAGAGCCTGGTCAGTACCTTGATGGGTGACTGCTTGGGAATACCAGGTGCTGTAAACTTGGATGTGTGAGTGGTGTAATGGATACTGGCTCAGAATTGTTATTACATGGATTTGCAACTGTTTATTTTGCTATATTTCAGAAATACTTAATTGAATTTGAGTACTTTGATGTGATGCAATGGTTAGCAAGATGGCTTGCTAGAACAATTATGACATTAATGAGTTCAATCCTCACTGAGTGCCCCATACTTTCAGCCTTGTGCTACATCTAAACTATGCTTAGAAAGTCATTTGGACACTTCACTGTACCTTGAATTATTAGTATGAATTAAAATAATTCAGTGCTTGATTGAAAATCAATGTATTAAACAAGTAGACATTTATGTGCATTATTTGATGGCATTTTTTCTTCCTTTCAGACATGAAGTAGCTGACGTTGCCGGTTTAACATCATTCTCTTTTGGTCAAGAAGAAGAAGATCGTTATGTTATGCTATGGAAAAAGGTACATATTAAATTTTTCTCTCCTTATCTTATACAATGGGATAGGTCCTGATTTGGCATCTAGTCAACAGTCACTTTCTCACAGACGTGCTGTGGCTTCCCTCTGTCTCTTCTACAAGTATTTTCATCGTAACTGATCTGACAAGCTACTTTCACTGGTTCCCAGACTGCATGAATTTAAGTGAGCTACAAGGCTGGCATTTTGGTCCCATTCTTTCACTGGCAAAACGGTTAAATATAATCGTCTCTTCTACACAAACAGCTTCTTCTCTAGCACATCCTGTCTGTTGAACTCCTTTCCCTTTGTTTGCTTCCCCGATAACTATAATCTTCAAATATTCAAGTGTAATGTCAATCGACATCTAATACCTTGATCTTGTTCCCTGTTCTTCCATGTATCATTTCCTCAAACACACCTCTTTACTCTTGTTCTCAATCCTCTGTAGTCCCTTGCATACTAGTGGCACTCCTGTCTTGCTTGGAGTGAATTGCTTTAAAAAGAAAAAAAAAAATCAATTATTTCCATTGTCTTGCCATTTTATACATGCATGTACCCTTTGAAGAAACTAAATGTATTTGTGTGGCTTTTAAATAACGATTTTATCTTTCACACTTTGATAAAATTGTTATTTATACTATTTAGGTGTGAACTATTGTCCTTATCTTTGTTGTTGTTATTACAAAGTTTCAGCCATTATGCCCTTCATCAGTTTTATGTTGATTCAGGTAACCTTAGGGAATTCCAAACTGAACCCTGTATTTAATCTATCTGGGTAGATGTCTCATTCCATTGCCTATGTCTAAGGATATCTCATCTAGTTCTTTAGTACTGCTCAGTCATTGCTCACCCTGTTTCCACTGAGTCCAAGTACATCCTGCGCGGCCCAGCTGGCATACACCTGATGAAGGCTGGAGATCACAATGGCTGAACTGTGATGATGACAAGAAAGATGAGGATAATAGTTCATATGCAAATGGTGTAAATAATGATAACTCTTCATCCCAGAGAGTCAGGCAGAAAATTAAATCCATAATCTATATTTGATTAACAGGAAAGTTTGATTGGGTTGATAATATTTTTATGATTATTCATTCTCATTTACAGGAATATTATTTGGAGTTATGGTTATCCTATCTCTCCCTATTAGCATACAGTATGCATATATAGCTGGCCACTCGTATTTGAGGATACCCGTCTACTAGGGCGGCTAGCCAATCCCTATTGCTAACGCTTGCTCAGGCACATTTGTGTTTATTGAACACCCACAGATCCTACCTGTGGTTTATACAGCAACTATGCTGAGCAGACCTTAGTTACAGTTTCTGGGAAAGAGCGTGTTATCTAGCATGATCAACAATTTGAAAAAAGGCCAGCACACTCAAGCCCTCGGGCACGATGACTTGTGACTTTGTGCTAGCACAGCTATTGACAGTCCCCAAGGGTTCCGTCTACAGTTTCTTAGTTACTATATTAAAAACAAATAAAAAAATTTGTCTGAAAGTTTTCCTAAAATAATTGGGTTAAATGGATTTTTTATTTTTTCTCATCCGACATTATTTCTTATTTCTAGGAAAATAGGAAATAATTATTTCCTATTTCTTTAATCTGTCATTATTCTTTTTTATTTCTTTAATTTGACATTATTTCATTAATCTGTCATCATTTCTGTTTCTTTAATCTATCATTATTATTCATCATTATTTCATTAATCTGTCATTATTTCTTATTTCTTTAAACCATCATTATTTCCTATTTCTATAATTTGTCATTATTTTATTATCTATTATTATTTTTTATTTCTTTAATATGACATTAATTCTTTAATTCGTCATTATTTCCTATTTCTTTAATCTCTCATTATTTCTTATTTCCTTAATTTGACATTTCTTTAATCCATCATTATTTTCTATTTTTATAATTTTTCATTATTTCCTATTTCTTTAATCTGATATTATTTCCTATTTCTTTGGTCCGTCAGTATTTCCTATTTCTTTGGTCCGTCATTATTTCCCGTTTTGTAAAGTTCCATTCTTCAAATGGCATTTAACACCAAAGTGTACAGCTATGTTAGCCCAAAGAAGAATCATAAAGTCTGTCCTCTGCAGAATTGTCAGGAAGTGCTGGTAAAACTAGTTCGGGAAAGCCAATTTCAAGTGCCAGTTCCAACAATTCAAAGCATTATCAAGATATTCAAGAATGTCCAACCTCTCTCACAAATGTGATGCCTCTTGTATGCTCTCTTGCTACTACTATGAAAAGTGCTCAGATGAACTACATTCCTTGCTTCTGCTAGGTCTAACCTTCATGGCTAGGACCCACTATAGCACTTATAATTTAGCAGACCACTCACATTTCCCCCATATTCCATCAGTGAGAAGTCAGTTTCACTCAAACAGCTTCTTCTTGTGAACCACTGCTCCATGGAACCAACTCCCAAGAGGATGTTTTCTTGATCACTACAATCTTAATCTGTTCAAGTCTAGGGTTAACCTTTATCTCTCCCTCCTATTTGTATAAACTGCCTCTTAATGTAACTCTCTACCCTGGGTGGGTCCTGGGCCTTGTACAGGGTGAACCATACTGTAAAAAAAAAAAATATCAAGGATAAACAAGGAAACCAACTTTATGTATATTGTAACTTTGTATAGTGTAACCCTGAATTTTTTGCATGAATTTTAACCCCTCAAAAAAAAAAAAAAAATATAATTAAAATTATAATTACCTGTTTATAGTGCAACTGGTCACTGATTATTAACCTCTTCAAAAAAAAAAAAAGAAAAAAATCCTGTGTATAGTGTGGTTCTTTTTTGTGTTAAAAAAAACAAAAAACCCTGATCACAAAAACTTGCACTATACTCTACTATATATGGTACTTATTAAAGATTGTGTGGCCTCTTTTAAAATGTAAAGTGTTATAAAAATTGACAGTTTCTTGTTTTTACAACTAATTCCCTTGTCAGACGGGCTGAGAATATGCCAACTACATTCCTTGCAGAGAAGTAACATCCTCCCCGCCATCAAAAATGTCTACCTTCTGAATAGATGCTTGCAGACTCTAGTATAAAACAAACCAGTGTTTACCTTTTTACTTGAGTATAATAAAAACGGAAATTTCATCACTAATTATCCCCATGTAAATTCAATTGATAATTCTCTCTGGACAGTTAAATGTTTATTGTAAAATGTTTGGCATTGATGATAATAAAATTAATTATTTGTTAAATTTGATATCCACTTTCTCAACATTCTCTCTTTTGTTGTTTCAAGATACTTATTCTATAATCTGGAAAGTACCACTTGCATTAAGGCAAATAGATTAAAGATTGAATGAATCAAGATAAATGTTTTTGCTAAATGGTGTTTTTATTCTACTAGTTTTGATTTGGGGACTGTATAAAAAAATTTAAGATAATTTAAGTTTTTTTTTTTTTTAAATTTATTTTATTTTTGGTGGTTCCGATGGTGATTGGTGAAAGATGTTAGCCTGGATCTTTGGAAACCTTGAATCCTACAGTCTAGATTTACTTCCCTTTGATTTTTTTTTTTTTTTTTCTCTCCAAAGCTGAAATCATGGTTGAAAGAAAGAGACTGTGGATGAGATTAAGGAGAATATGATGAGACAGCTAATGGTGATCTCAAAAAAGAGCTTTGTAGACCGTTTTGGAAAGTGGAAGAAAAACTTGGATAAATGTGTGAGGTTCCAAGAGGCAGTACTTTGAATGAGACTTTTTCCTCATTAATAATATTAAAATGGTAGGATTATTTCTGAAGAGATTTTGTACAATTATTAGGAAACTAAAGTTCTACAGGACAAAGAAATAACCATCTCAGCAGATCAAAGGATGTCAGTCAGAACTTTATTATACATCCTGTCAAAAAGGACTAGATTTTTCTTTTTTTTTTTTTTTTTTTTTTTTTTTTTCCATATTTAAAAACTCTTTTTGCCAGAGCACAATTTTATTTGACCAATAAAAGCAGGTATATTAAAGCAGGTTGCAACAAAAAAGAAACAATTACCCTCCCCATTTTTTTTTTTTTTTTGTTAAAGTGTTGTTATATTAACATTTTATGATAATACTAGACTACCTGTGACCCATTATAAAACATTGAAGTTGATTTTAGCATTCCATTGAAATGAGTTAATTTTACAATTCAGTTAAATATATTTTTGACGGGTTATTATTAAAAAATACATATGTTACAAATTCAACTATTTGATTGCTCTGTTAAAATGTAAAGAAAATTTCAGTGACAACTGTTCAAAGTTTAACCCTTTAACATTTAACCCACGGCCATAAATATTGGCTCTCAATGTTCAACCTGCTGTAACGAACTCCATGTATAACCTGCCATAATATATGACAACATTGTATTGCAAATAATGCAGGAAGTTTGTACAAACAGTGAAACTTTGACCACTGATGGGTTTGAGCATGTTGAATGCTAAAAGAAAATTTTAGTTTTTCTTGAATAAAAAAAAAAAAAAATTACTAAATTAAAAATTTTAAAAATCTAACACTGGTCTGATTCTTTGTCTTAAATGTTTACACAATATATTAGAAAATGGATTTTTTCTTTTAAATATCATTTACCAGTGTTAGATTTCAGCTTAAAAGTAATGCGTGTTTTTTTTTTTGTGTTTTTTTTTTTTAGTTTTTATTCTTTGTAAATGAGTTTAACATATCAACATTATTTGAATAAATAAATGTGATTCACTGAAATAATTAAACATAAAAAACCAACAAAGTATAAAAGGGGTGCAGAAAAGTTCTCAGTCTGATCCACTTGCTCAAATGATGAAACATCAGATATATATATATATATATATATATACACATATATATATATATATATATATATATATATATATATATATATATATATATATATATAATTATCTTTTTATTTTTTTTCCTAGTGTTTTGGTCAGACCGAGAATTTTTCAGCAACATCTTTTATTGCAAAGTTCATTTTACTTGAATATTTTAGCAGCAGTATACTGGCATATTGGTATGTTGCCTGGCCACTTACCTCTAGGTCAGAAAGTTGAATCAGGATTCACTTAATTTTATACATTAGCTTTTATATGAGATAATAGTCATATTCTGTCAGTGATACTTGATTTAACTAACACTTCTTTTTTTTTTTTTTCTGATTTTGAAATTAAATGTTGAAACATGCTCAAATGATTTTAAGAAAATATTGCAAAATTCCGTATTTAATCACCAGCAATTTCCCTCCTGTCACCAGAATTAGTTTGTTAATGCCAGAAAGGATTAAATCTTGTGACAAATGGCACCAGATTTAGGCTATTATTCTGATCTTTTCTCCTTGACTGCATGAATTTAAGCGTGCAACTAGATTGGTAACTGTGTCTCACTGTTTTACTGTTGCAATAGTTAGATGCGATCATCAGTCCTATTCTAATAGTTTCTTTTCTCACCATTTCTATTTCTTGCTTCCCTGACAACTACAATCTTCAAAAATTTAAATGCAACACCAATCACTATTTTCTGTCTCCCTGAACCCTGTCCTTTTATTGTCCAATCTTCTCACTAAAGTCTTCTCACTCTCTTTCACTCCCTCTAAACCTTTGTATCCTTGTGGCATTATCAACTTGCTTGGGGTGAAATGATTAAAAAAAAAAATGTTAATTCTATTTGGATGCGAAATCTTGGGTGTTATGTACCAAGTCAGAATATAGTCCACTATTTGTTATCTCTTAGTGAAATTGCAGCAGATTCCTTATGTAGATCATAACAGAGGGAGATTTGAAAAAAAAAAACAAATTTTTAAAGCTTAACGATTAAATAGTGATCTTCCTCTTTTACAGGAATTTGCACCTTCAGATGAAGAATTATTGGCTTATCGACGAGGTGAAGAGTGGGACCCAGAGAAAGCAAAAGAACTTGCCAAACAGAAGGTTTGTATAAAAGTATTGTACACTAATAAGGCCAGCCAGCATTCAGTACGTGAAATAGCTTGATTGATTGCTCTTTTTCTTTACTCTTTTATATTCTCTTAGCTAGAAAACATATTCATGTTGACTTGGAAGCATTTCATCAAATCTACACATATTTGCACATATATTATTTCTTTATAAGATAGATATATCTGCATATTGTTTCTTTTTGAAATATGAGAGCTGCAACTACTCCAAAGAATGGTGTTGCAGATTCAATAACGAGTATTTTTAAAGGGTCAAGGTACTAGCTAAACACCCAAGATGTGCTGACTTACTCTTGTAGCATACCTATGGACCATAATGGGTATGCCCTATACCCATAAATACAGTAGTGAATACTGTATGTGTTGGTCTGCGGTTAGAGGTTCATTGTGGAATTCACTTGACTCACTTCTAGCAGTTGACTACTTCTATGCGCTGCTGGTGAATCTTACACATGTTGTTCTTGTCCTAAGTATTATCGTGCATTACCAACCTTCGTGTGATTATTCTATTCAGTAACCTTCCCTAGGTTACAACACTTACTAAAGGACTGTTACCTACTATTTGGCTAGCTACTTGGAATATTGACTTTCTGACCATGAAACCTGAGTTTGAATCCTTTCAGGGTCAGATTATGACCACATCACATTAAAACACTGTTTCCCATACAATCGCAAAAGTTAAGCAACATCAAGCCTGTTCAGTACCTAGATTGGTGGCTGCTTGGGAATCCCAATCATGAATCTTATGGCCCATCAGGGTTGTAGGGGCACAATATGTATCACAGCCACAGCAGAACTGGCATTTCTTGGGCAAGGTAGACTGACGGAGCCCAACCCTCTCCAGGTCTGTTTGAATTCAGTTTTCCTTCTAGACTGGTTGCTACTCAAAGCTATAGAACCTAGTCTGTCCTGCTATTTACCCATAGCTGGGGAGGTGGGGAGAAGAAGAGGATTCGTACCTTTCCCAAGGGTATTAGCATGTAAGTGAATGTAATGGCTCCAGCTGGAATTCGAACTTGGCTCTCCAATTCCTCCATCCGATCTGCTATTCATTACTCTATGGGTTAATTATTAAAACTTGTATTACTAAAACCGTTATCTCCCCAAACAATAAAATTGTGTCCAAAATATTTAGATTTTGGCAGTAAATAACCTATAGCAGGTGATATGTTGCTAAACAAAACAACCAACTAATCAACCATTATTACTATTAAATTTGCAAGAGAAAATACTTTGTCATCAATGGAATCACAGCTGATCTGTTGCCGTGACTACAGGGATATAAGTGATGTTTTTCAGTATTGGTGGTCAGTTGGGAGAGCATTACTTTGATTTCTGATTGGTTGGCTTTTCTACATCTTCTATAGAGAGAGAGATAAAAGACAAGTTACATTCATTTTATAATTAACCTTTTTAATTGAATACCAGCTGCTATAAGCTAGTATGTTTGGGTGGTGTAATGGATGATAGCTCAGAATTTTTAATTGGGAAGCAGAGATCCAATTCTAGTTGGCTTCATTATATTCACTTATGCACAAATACCCTTAGGAAATGTATGAATCTGTCTCTTCTCCCCACCTAGCTATGGATTTATTAGTAAGACTTGTATCACTAAAACCATTAGCTCAAAAAATAAATAAATAAAAATACATACAAAATTTTTAGATTTCAGCATTAAATAACTTATAGAGGTTGGTATTCTACTAAACAAAAACGCCCAACCAACAATCATCATGATTGATTTGTCAGATAGGTGACTTCTTGATCATATCAGCCTGTGAAGGTGATCTCGGCATGTGGTACTTTTTGGAAAGTTCCTGAAAACCAAACCACATGTTAACCCAAGCTTTGTAGGCTAAATTTTGTAGATGTAACCATTGCTGGTTGTGCTGTTACAAGTCATCCTGACTGAGGCTTTGAACATATTAACCTTGTTTTAAAAAAAAAAAAAAAAAATAAAGAACTGATTTTAGATCATATACTTTCTCTCCCATAAACTGTAATTAATGTCTGCTCAGCATAGTTGTAGTATAAAGCACAGGTGGACAGTTTGAGTTGAGCAGGCATCTGTAATAGGGATTTACTAACTGCCCTATCAGATATGTGTCTTCATAAATGAGTATTAGCCAGTCATTGTTTTATCCTTACCTATTGGGTGGAGAAGTGGATCTTTGCCTTTTCCAAGGTTATTAATGCAAACTGAGTGTAAATTGTCCAGCTGGAGTTTGAACATTGTTCACAGATTCCTTTCTTTGTGTCATAACCATTGGGCCACTTGCACATTTAGCAGTTGACTACATCCTGGAAATCTGGGCAGTATTCCAAATATGTTTGCCATGAAGTATAAGAATTGTGTATTTATTTATTTCAGATTGTCAGAAGAGAATTTTAGAATGCACCTTTTCTTTGTATTTTGACATTGGCATTCTTTTTAAGGTGGAATTTAATGACAAAACAGTCAGCATATTAGCTGTGTAGATATAAGATCTGCTATCAAAGAGATTTGGTTAGTAGCTCTTTGATGATTTAAAATAAGAAGGATAAAGTAGAGCAGCAGAAGCATGCATTAAGCTTAATAGAAAATCCAGAACACCATCCTCTAGATGTTTTATTGCTTTACTTCATACCATTGTCATACCAAAGCTTTCCAATTAGTGGATGAGAATGACTTTAATGATAGCATGGGAGGATCAATAATTATTCAGTTACAGAATCTTTTTTTTAAATCTCAATTGGTTCATATCCTGAACATTGATCATATGATTTTTATTACTGAAAAAGGAAAAATCTTCATTGCTTTGTTTCATATCATTGTCATACCAATTCTTTGCAATTAATTGGTGGATGAATGTTTGAGCTTTACTTCCTGTTTTTTTCTTCTCTGTACTTTTCTGTTTGTCCATCTGGACTTCCAAAATAGATGCATTAATTATAATTATTTATAAAGCATAGCTGAGTTTTGAAACAATGTCACAAGTATGGAACATTCAATTATGGTCAAACTCATTAGACACTAGCAATGACCTGCAAAACTCTTTGATTACCACTAAACTGTCACAATGTACACTAGATGCATTAAATGTTGACTAAAAGATTCAATAAATACATAAAAAATACCATTTCTGTCTGAATTTTGGGGATGAGGAGTTATTTACACTCAGACTATAGTCCTGCACTTTACTGTTATTATATTTCAGCCATTGTACCAACCTTGCCTCTGGGATGGTAGCCTAGTTGATTAAAGTGTTTGTTCATGAATTTGGTAACATACTAATTGTGAGTTCAATCCATAATGCAGGCAGTGTGTACTTGGACTCAATAAAAATAGGGCAAATAATGACTGGTTGGTACAAAATAAGAATATGTGATATCCCTATAGATTTTTAATGGAATGAGAACACTCTACCCTTGTGAATTAAATAAAGTGCTCAGTTCAAAATTCCCTGAAAGTTACTCAGCTTGATGAATACTGGTGTAGTGAACTGCTGCAGAGGGCAAAAAGGTCCAGGGTTACACGCATTTTTGCAACAGTTTCTTTAGTGGCATATCAACTCCTTATGAGTCATTTAGTGCCAAAATTTAATTTTCTGATTTTTAAAAATTTTTAGTAATTATTGCTAATAATATTTTTACTTTTATGAAAATATATTGCTGGTAATATTTTTTTTTTTTTTTTTTTTTACAAAAATCTATTGCTGGTATTTTTACTATAAAAACCTATTTTTATACTTTCATAGTGTTTTGACCCCAGTTTGGGAGTTAGCTATTTGTCCATAGTTGGGGCCTTAACAGCTCTTATCACCCCAGGTTAGGGTGGACCTGGGAACAGTAGCGATTAAGAGGTGGTTTTTGCAACAGTGTAACACTAGAGAAAATGTCTTAACTCCAGGATGAAAATGGATTCAAATATGTCTCGCATGTAAAATATCCAAAAAGAGAAAATGGCAGCTTCACAGGTCATACATTTAATACAGATTTTGGAGTTGGATAGACTCTTGTGAGAATCTTTTAACATACATAAATTTTAACTGTCAATCAAGCTATTAAAGTGTATAAAGAGGTGACGGACAGAAGTCTGACTGTTCTAGCGGGCAGGAGACACGTGTTGCAGTCAGTGTTGGTAGATTGTTTGACTTAAGTTCCTACCGCTAATCTGTTAGTTGAAGGAAACTGATTATGGAAATTGCTTACATGCAAGAAGAAAGTGACTGTAAGAGGCAACTATAGCTGGTTGCTGCAATGGCTGAAATAACAAAGATGAGGATAATAGTTCAAGTGTAAATAATGTAAATAAATTTACCATATTGGCTGCCCTCTGGTTTACGAGGTTATTTGGTGAACTACCATTCACTGCAACTCATACAGGCCCTATTGTTGGCTTTTATAACATTGGATACAGTGTAATAATATTTGTATATTTTAATTTTAATTATTTAAGTGTATGTTTTACATGCAGGCAGTCTGGTAAATAAGAGATTCTTGCAAAATTCAGTTTAGTTTTACCAAAGTGTGGCTATTGCCAATGACTTTTGGCACTTTTTCTACTTTTTGATTTGCATTATTGCATGTTTAAATTCTACTACTACTACTATTATTTATATTTTAAGTTAATTTTGTTGCATATCAGCCCTCCTTAGACTATTTAATGTCAAATTTTGTATGTAGCACACAGTGAGGATTGAACTCGTCACTCAGTGGTAATGGTCAACCAGACTAGCTTTGCTGATCATTACTACATACTGAGACACCCTCTTGTACCCATAAAATAAGTGACATGATTATTTATGGATTAACATTTCTACTTTGAATCAGAGTATCTGTGTACTCTGGTTTAGGTTCACAGTGTTATTTGCCAGTGTTCTGCCTAGGGTTAGGTAAATCAACTTCAGTGCCATGCGTGATACATGTTTATCTTTCAATAAATGACTGATGAGTCAGATTTTTTTTCCCGCAGTAGGTTGCCATTTTTTTTCTGTGGTAGACCAGTTGCCATCTAAGGCTATGTCAATTTGCTGCCATTTTTCTCTACAATGAAACAAAGGGAAATGTTTTTATTCAAGTTATTTTCAATTAATAAAAGGTTACAAAAATGTCATAATTGGCAATAATATGAGAGATTGCTATAAAGGCACTGTTGATTATTTACGACTAATCTGTTCAGATAATGCACTATTATTTGCGTCAAGTGGTAATAAATATAAGTAAAATGATGCACTAAAATAAGTGACCAAGTAATTGTTTTAAGTTCTCAATATCGGTGACTTAGGATGTATAAACGAGTAGAAATAAAATTAAGAGTTACCTCCCTTGTACTTTACGTATTCTTTTGTGACATTTTTAATTTGTTCGTGTACTGTATTTTGTATAGAGATTTACTAAGTTTCTTTAAAATGTCAAATGTGAGATCAGATTGCTTTAAGTGAAATAATAATAATACAACTGAGAAAATACGTGCGAATGATGAATTTTACGTATTTTTTTCAGACTCCTGCCAAAAAATCTCCATAGATAACTTTGAGCTATAATTAAGAAATGTTAAGTGAAATAATATAAAGTTAAGGAATTACCTCCCTTATCTTTTTCGTACGCTTTCCTAATATTTTTACTTTCTCTTAATTTTTTTTTTTTTTTTTTTTTTTTTTATCTGTCTGGAGCATTGTATTATTGCCAATCTGGAAAATCCCTGGTATAGTTTGAGTAAAAATGAAACCTCTTTAAAAACAAATTATCAAATGAGTAAAAAAGTACGGACATTGCTTTCTTTATGCAATCAGTGTTGTTTTCAGCACTAAGCTTATCTTCTCTTTGTCATTGTGTATAATATTAAGGAGGTACCACCACAAAAAACGTGAAAATGAATTTTTAAAAATGAAAAATCTTTCTTGAAGTTTTTAGTTTTAATTTCAAGCTAATAGATTAAATTTTAAAAAATTAATATTTCCAATAAGCAAAATTCTCTGCTATTTTCCCAAAACTAATTTAAATTGACTAGGAGTTTATTTCTATCTTTTTGTTAAGGTAACTGATAAACGCACCTTTTTTAGTAGTCTTTAATTGCAATGTAATTTATTAAAAAAATCTTCCAAAAATAAAACATACTTTTTGGGAACTTTGAGGAATATTAGCTGAAGTATAATTAATCTGATTTTAAATAAATACTATTTACTTTAAGTTTAAAATGTTGCAGAAATGCATTAGCACAGCAGTAGCTGTTGACATGTTTGACAGATTGATGTTTATGTATTGTTTTACTATGGAGGCTTTAGCTGTAAATAAATAATTGAATATAATGTGAGCACCTTTTATATATAAATTTTAAGTACTCAGTAATCTTAAAAAATTAAGAAAATATTCTCTGTAATATAATATTCAATGCATGACTGAATGGTAGGTTTATAAATATGTAAGATAGATTCGGAGGAGAAAAATTGTCAATTTCCTAGCAGCAGATTTAGCAATTGATTTTATGTAATCTTTCCACTTCATGTCAGCAGAAAATATTTGTCTGGGAAGATGCAATGAATCAATCTGGAGGTTAGCATTAGCTGTACTGATGGAAGCAGGATTTGTACAGGTCCTGGAAGCCTTGAAAAGTCCTGGAAAAACAGCAATAACCCAAAAGCTCCTTGAAAAGTCCTGGAATTTTCTAAGTTGGTCTGCCTACACATCCATTTTCTCAATTCATAAAGGTCAAAATGGCAAATCCCAGAAATCTGGCTTTTTTACAAGCTAAAATTGTTTAAGAAAAATGTTTTTGAGTTGTCAGTAATATTTGGTAATTATTGCTAATGATGGTTTGTTTCCTTGATTAGAAGAAGTTCATGACCTTGTAGTTACTTTAGTATTTTTCTTGTCGAGGTGACAAGAAAGAAAGAGAGAAAGCATATGAAGGCTTGTCTCCTCCTAGCTGCTACCCTCACTCAAGAGGAAAAGCAAAGATGAAAGGTGTCGGAGACAAACATGTTGGTCAAAGATAAATTAATTCACACTCATTGAATTTGTAGTTGAAAGGAAAATATTTTATTTTATAGTAATAAAATACATTTTTAGTAGAATCTTGAAAAATTTATCAGTTTTTTAAAATTTGAACAACTGAAGAAATTTTATTCACATATCACTTTCAAAAGTAAAAAGTCCTTTTGATCTCTAATCAGTAATGGCTGAGTTCATGCTGGAAAAAAAATAGATACTTATATGTCCTGTATCAATGTGTATATATGTGTAAACTACGTTTGTCTAAATTGTTGCCAAAAGTAACAAGTTTGAGAATCAAATTTACTTAAAGAAAATGTGGACGAGAAGCATGATAGAATAGAAAATGTTCCTATGATGGGTCCTAGGATAGAAAATGCATCTTTGAAACAATGATGTTATTTCTAAATTTTGCAGGCTAATAATGACTTGTATCTCTAGCTTTTGTTCTAAGTGTGCAAAATGATGAAATATATTAATTAAAATTTATTTGGCATTTATTGCTTGTCATTAAAAGTTCAATCTGGCAATTTTTGTATTTCTGCCACAGATGGCTAGAAAATATATGAACATTTGAATGACTCCTAGACATTTAGCCAGATGTCATCAAATTTGTGAAATTAATTAAAAAAACAGAAAAAATGACGCTAGACCAAGTACTTCTCTGTGATGTTGTCAAATGTGAATGACATTTTATTTTCAGTGAAACTGCAGATTTTTGTGTCTATTTTGAAAGGTATTGAACCATTTCTGATAAAATATCAGTGATAAACTGTTGCTTCCTTTCTGTGCAGATGATCTTTTTAGCCTGATCATGAAACTGAGATTTTTTAAGAACAAGCACACTAAAAAGATAATTACATTTTCCAAACTAAATGAATTTGTAAGAATTTTGTTAAACCCAAACATGCATAAAGATGCTGCAAAGATTGAGTGTGGATTTCTGGCAGATAGGGCTATGAAAAATTTATCCAGAGAAAGGAATGTCAACAAAAGATCTGTTTACATGCAGAATTGCAACAAAGATCAAGAAACTGTGGCAAAGTCTCCCCTTAGATATCCTTGTAAGGTCACTCGTATGGCTGAACTCTGGATCTGCCAAAGAAGACAATCTAAAAAGATGTCTTTCCCACATAATGGGCAGAAAACAAGTCAGCAAGTCTGATTGTGATGGCATCATCAGTCAGTACAAAAGTTTGAGGAGGAGGTTTCTGGAAATATTGCTTTTAAGAATTTCAGCAAGCATGAAGACTGTCTAGACACTGTTTTATTCTTCTGTCTAGCAACAAAGAATATCAAAAACTGGAAAGTTGTTTGCAGATTGCTGGTACTCTCTCATGGACAGGCCTCAGTGGAGAGAGGTTTCTCAGTCATTTCCACTAAAAATTTGAAACTGCAGACTCTGGTCGCACATCGCATTATCACAGACCATTTGGTTACAGTTGGATTTGCTGGGAATGTTCCCATGACTAAGGCTCTTCTCTGCAGTGCTTCCAATGCCATAACAGCATACAACCAATACCTTAAGGCTAAGAAGAAAAAAGACAGGAAGAAGCAACTGGACACAAACAGAAATCCATGCTTAGGGAAATTGAGGAAATGAAAACCAAAAAGTCAAGCTTGAAAGTTGCACACAAGATTTGCTCAAGTCAGCTGACAAGTATGTGGTGAAAGCTGAGAAGAATCGGAACTTCACACTTATCACAAAGTCCAATGCCATGCAAAGATCTGTAAAGGACAAGTCCATGGAGATATCAAAATCTGAAGAGGTGCTGAATGTTAAACTAGCTGAACTGAAAAAATGTTAACATTGTGTTCTGTGCAATGAAAGCCATGAGTAGTAGGTGTAACTGTGAATTTCTTTTGACTTTCACAAACTATGAGTAGTCCAGATAACTGAAATGTGTAGCAGTAAGAATTAAAGTGTGTAGAATGCTACACAAAATGTGTAACAGAACCAGGTCTGCATTCACTTGTCTTTTAATCTTCAACACTTTGATTTCTTCATTGCCTTCAACTTATCCATGTGACATGAATTATTGAAACCAGCTGTAGCTTTTCTTTGGACATATCATCTGTCAAAATATTAAAAGATAAATCACAAAGTTTGTGTTTTTGAAATTGATGACCATTCACTTTGTGTGTGTGCGTGTGTCAGTTTTAGTGCTTGAAACTTCTTAACATAGTCCTGGAATATTTTTTTTTACATGGATCTGTAGGAACCCTGTAGAAGGCAGAAAGCGGTCTCAGACAATAGAGAGCAGATTTGTTTTGGAGGTGTTAAAATTAACAAGCCGGTTAATAACAGAATATAGATCATTTTTGAGATCAGCTGCCAATTTGACTTTATCAAATCAATCAGACTTACTATTATTATTGTTGTCATTACTTATAATATTTTTTTTTTTTTTTTTTTTTAACCAGGAATTTGACTCTCAGACTGAAAGTAATCCTTTGAAACGTAAAGCTTCAGAAGCAGCTCCTACGTTTGACTACAAGGAAAAATATAAACATCTGATTGGAGAAGAAGCAGCAAAAGATGCAGCTAAACAGACAACAGCCAACAAATCTTATGGTTTTGGTGAGTATTACATTCTCTTCCAACATTTATTAACTTTTTTTTATCATATGCTTTATTATTCAGACCAGCATGTTTATTGTGGTTATTTCTTCTGGCCTTTTTCAATTATCACTCATTGTACTCTGTAAACTTCTCGGAATTTTGATCACAAGTCCCACAACCCATTAGAGTCATAGGAGCACTACATGTACTTTAGCCATAGCAGCAGTGGTATGTCTTGGGTAAGATTGCCTGATGGAGCCCAAACTTTTCCAGGCTGGTTTGAATCCAAAGTTTACCTTCTAGACTGGTTACCGATCAAGGCTATGGGGCCCTGTCTGCCCTGTTACTTACTCATAGCTTAGAAGAGATGGCCCAAGGTCTTTATGTTCACTTACAAGCAAATAGCGTGTAAGGGAATATAAAGAATTCAACTGGAATTCAAACTCAGCTCTCTGATTTTGCATTCCATGTCATGGTCTATTACACCACCCACACATCCCAATCCAAAAATTTTGAACCAAGCTCTTTATTCAATCCATGAAGTTAGATTGTTCACATTCAGTTTTCCATGCTCTGAGGATATTTCATACCGTATATACTTGCAGATAGGTCACACTTTTTTTACCAAAAATTTCACAAAATATTAGGGGTGCAACCTATCCATATAAATGTAAAACAACACCCACCTTGTCATCATGATTTCTGAGAAATCTGAAATGATTACCATAAATGCTAAAGCTGTGGTCTTTCTCCATATAGAAACAATTTATCTATCATATATACTGACTCACTGCTTTAAACTTACCTCATGCTGCTAGATTCACATAGCCATCACATTAAATAAATGAAAATTATAAAATATTCATTGATCCATCAGTCACCATTTGGTCGGGGCCCTCACACTAAACTGATAAAGAAACCCTGATCATGCATACATAGGTCAAGGAACCATGTGTAGATGTTTATTGATAAAGAAAGAATAGTCCCATGATTCATTCTGCAAAATATATATATTTTGTCAAAAATAAGTTGAAAAATATGACTTAAAGAAATGAAATATAAATGAAATATATTCTTTAGAAGATAACTTTCTTTAATAGTTATTTCATATAACATTAAAAGGCGTTCTTAAGTGTTATTTACAAATAACAAAGTGTATGAATCTAGTACCCAAATCATTTGCTTTGCATTGTGCAGCGATATAGTTGGTAGCCAAATTTATAGTTTATAATTTTAATTCTTAAGTTAGATATCTGATAATTCTTATGTTTAAAAAGGGCTGCGTAACTCCAGATTATAGTGCGACCTATTTGCAAGTCAACAGTAAATCATCAATTATTAAGCCATAAAGTAGGGGTGTGACCTATTTGGTGGGGGGGGGGGGCGACCTATCTGTAAGTATATACAGTATTTGAATTTTTAAATACTTTGGTTAATTCTTAGACGAGTGACTGCTTAAGAACACTAGCCGGTGCTCACAAATTGTTGACCTGTGCCAGACTAAACAAAGCTTAATGTATGAAGGATTAAGGTGAGCTACTTGGGCACCTTCAATGGTTTGACAAATTAGTTGCTCATCAAGAGTTAAAAAATTTCTAATTTTTCACCAAAAAGTGTTCAGATTATTTTAGGTATTTTCAGTTATCTGATAACATTGATTGATAATTGTCCACAAGATGTTGTTTGGATCAACTCTCTTCTCCCTGTTGGCTATTCATCATGAGGTGTGTTTAGGTTTGCTAAAAATTTGGCAGCTTTCATCTCTTCAGTTTTTTTTATCTTCCTTTCAGTTAGTACTCATCAGTGTTATTCACCTTTGTATTGCTTTTTTTTTTTTTCCCCTCTCTCTCCTGAACCAGAGCATGTAGCTTTTTCAATGCTTCCAGGCCCAGGGATTGAGCACACAAGTGTCAGGGAGCTTGACATATTTAAAAAAATGCTACAATCCAATAGCCTAAAAATGCTACCAGAGTATGATGGTAGAAGCCTTAAGAAGAGTGAAGGACAAAACATTGTGAGCTTAACGATCTTGGTGAAAATGTTGGTCCAAATAATAAAGCATGTAATCTATGTAAATAAATGTGAATGTCAGTGTGTCAAACTTTTTCAACTTAGTCCAACATATCATACCATTTTGGAATCATGCTGACTCTGTGAGAAAATTAAAAAACATTCTAGACCTGCAATCCTGAAATTTTGGATTCCCAACTTTTCATTACTGCGATTGTTTTTGGCAATATTTTTTTTTTTTTTTTTAATATTATGTGATTTTTTTGTGACAAATCTTTTGTGTGATAACTTGGAAATAAATTTGGAAATAATCAAAATTAATTGCACAATGCAGTGAAAGTCACCTATGAAATAAAAATAATTGTATGAAAACTATGTATATCAAATTGTCTTTAAATTAAGTGTTGGCAAGAGAATTATTGTTGAACTTTTAAAAGGTAAGCTTAAACGTTAATGCAATACTTAAATGCAGTGATCAATTTTGAGTTCGTTTGTAGTTTATTGTTGCTTATCACATACAGCAACAGTATGCCTCTCTAAAAGAAATCTCTGCCAACAGAGGACCAGATTACAATAAAAAAAAGCCAAGGCTGCTGTGAAGAAAAGAAAGTCACATATAAATGAAAACCCAGATCAAATGGCAATCAGATATTCCAATGCTAAGAATAAGCAAAGACTTAGGGACTCTCAAACTCCTGAACAAGCTGAAGTCCTAATCAAGAGCCCTCCACGAGAGCTAGTTTAAATGTTGCCCAATAGGGCAACTTTTAAACTAGTAATAATAATAAATCCTCATCTCAAAAATTTCCAATGTAAGTGATGCTATTCTGGTTGACTATTACTACTGTCTGTCCCATATCTGTAGTCATGTACTAAAACTAAGCTAAGCTTAATAGATGTTACCACATCACGCAAAGAAAAACAAATAGTGGGGCAGTAACTATAGCTTGGTTTAAATTTAATTAATGGATAGTAATTTGTAATGGTTACCCATAAATACGTTGCAAGATTGGGTTGTTAACCATCTTCAGTAAGTGCACTGTATTCATTAGTAATGCTTTATGTATATTTGACAAATATTTTAGTTTCTGTTAAATCTAGATTACCATGAAAGAATTGTTTTGTTATTTTTTTTGTCTTTCTTTCTATTTCTCAGTACCAAGTGAAAACAAACGTGACTCCCGAACAATTGAGCAGGTCTTGGCTGATTCCAGAGCCAAGAAACAGAAAAAATCAGATGATGGGTCTGCAGGGCCAACAGATATACAGGATTCACCACCATCTTTGAATCTGGCTTCGGAAAATGTCTAGCTACCTCATTAGTCAGTTGTTGGGATACTGAAAATTTTCCCTCCCCTTACAAACATACACACACAAAAACGGGTAGAGGAGAAGAAAGTGGGGGATTTTTTTTTTTTCTTCCATTTTCATATTCTGACAATAATAATAATAATAATAATTTGAAGGGGAAACCTTTGAACGCAGATGGGGGGGGCGAGAAAAGGTAGTATTATTTTTTTTTTTTCTATAGAAAACACTTGACTTTGACTTGTTAAACATTGGTCAGATCCTCTTTAATTTTTTTCTTATTTATCTTTCTTTATTTTTATCTGTGCATGTGTGTATTTGTATGTACATATTTTTCTTTTAGTGATTATTTTTTGTTGTCTTTTTTCCTCTTGTACTTATCTTCCTATCCCCCCCCCGCAACTGAACCCCGTACTACCATCACGAAAATGTTCTTCATTTGTCATGTTCTTTTTCATACACCATCTTTCATAACATTCTAGTAAAAAACCTATTCCAACCCATTTAAAATAATGAAATGAAAAAATTTACTCATCATCATCATCATCAGTCCCTAGACTGCTTGGATTGGGAGGGGTCAGAAGAAACAGATTTTGATTCTTCATCATCTAAGATAGCCTGGCAGTTCCCATTTCCTCTCCAGGTTTTTGACCGAAGACCATGGAATATAGGATGGGTCGCTTTCAGTCTGTATGCTAGGTCCTCAGGTTTTGAATTAAACTTACTAAGGTTACATTAACTTGATGTTCAGTGTTACATTTTTAGACTATCAAAATCTTGTTGGTACCTTGAGACTTGCAGTTCTTCAAGCATAGGGTGGAAAAAAACTCAGACAAAACTCTTTCATTCCACTACACCAAACTTTATTTTCTTACTTCTGGCCAAAATATATATTTTTTTTTTTTTTTTTTCTTTAAATTTATTTTGTTGTAAAAATTTCAGTTTCAGAATTCTTTGTTTATAGAAAATGGGTTTATATAGAGTTAATCATACAACAATGAACTGAGTTTTCATATAAGTTATTTCTTTATTTTTAAAAAAAATTTTTTAAATTTTAATTATTTTTTTAATTTTTAATTTTTTTTTAAATTTTTTTTTTTTTTTTAAATATTTTTTTTTTAAATATTTTTTTTTTTTTAAATTTTTTCTTTTTTAAAAAATTTTTTTTTTTAAATTTTTTTTTAAAAAAAAATTTTTTAAATTAATTTCCTCTTCATTATTGTCATTTTAAGACTGTTTCAGTCAGTAACTGCCAATCATTTTTAAAGTTGTCATTGTTTTAATTGTTTACAGAAGAGGCAGTGGATGATGATCGATTACTGTGGTCTGTTTTGCATGTGTACACCGTAGTTAATAACAAAAGAAGGAATTAATAAACCAAACTCAAATCTTCCTTCAGATTCTTGTATGGTGCTTTTACCATTTGATCAATTTTTACATTATATGGAATGAGAACAAAGCAATTCTACTCAACAGCCTCTCGCACATACAGGTTGATTGTCTTTATTTTCTTTTATTACCACTCTTTATACTTGTGTATGTATGAAGGTGTAACCTAAAAAAACTATCAAGTTCATTTATCTTGGTGTGCAGTTTAAGACAGCTAAACTGAGAAAAACTGTGATGTTCAGATGTTTTAAAATCAAGTATTCTTTTGTTATAGCATTGAAATGGCTTTCTTTTAGAAATAACAAAAGATAGTGTGTATTTAATTATAATTACTGTAAACATTGTTTAGTGTGTAAACGTTTTTTCAATAGACATCATGCTTATAATTCAAAAGTCTTAATAATGAAAATATGCATCCCGTCAAGAATCTTTACCATTAATCCACAGGAAGCCATTATAGCAAAGCAAGTCTCAGTTACACTATTTGGCTTGAAAGTGGTTTCCCATATTAAAAAGGGAATACGGGTTTAACTCCTGTCAAGAGGTACATTTTCTTTACTAAGACTTTCGATGTCAAGGAAGGTAGACAGTAATTTCACTGTTTAAAAAGATGAGGATGTTTATTCAAATATGTTACTCTGGAGATTACTAATTGAAACATTTAGATGAGATATAGATTAATTTTGAAAGAAAAATTAGATTTGATGCCTATTAAAAAAAAAAAAAATTTTTTTCCCTTCCTCTTCTTGCTGTTATTGGTGTGTGGTTCTTTTTCTTTTGAGTCTTTCATTTCATTTTTAAAGAAAGTATAAGATCTTTGTTTTAGCTAAAATCAGAATATTTTTCACTATTGTCATCCCCATAATTAAAATTATTTATGCACCTTGCTGTGGGATAATGACTAGTTGGTTCATTCCACAGGCCAATACAACATCTACAAGGTTTCACCCCTTGCTGGGTTGCTACACACTTCTGTTCCTTGTACCAGTCAGAATTAAGTATTTATTAAATAAATTACTGGATTGTGTATTGTACTGACAACAGTGTAGGTAGTATATTACAGAGCAGTGTTTCTCAACCTTTTTAAGCAATGGCACACCTAGGGGTAAATGAAAATATCATGGCACACTAAGCAAAATTTTTAAAGGCTATACATTTAAATGTCATAAAATAAAACCATAGATTTAAAAAAAAAAATACACACACAAATATGTACTTAGTTTATTTCAATATTTCTATTCAACAATTTGTGAAGCTTATTTAGCGCAAAACCTGTGCCTGGTGTTTTTTTTTTTTTTTTTTTTTTTTAACAATTTCTTCAATGTTTGGTTGAATGTGTGAGCAGACCCCCATTTCTTCTTCAGTTGAGTGTAGTCTTTCTCACTTATTTTTAATCTCATTTAGGATTGAGAAACCTAATTCACATAAATAAAAAGTAGAAAATTGCAATAAAACTGATAAAACCCTTTTTAGCTAATGTGGGATATTCCTTTTGTATTGAAATCCAAAATGTATCAATGGGTACCATCAAATTTTATTTTGAGCCCTTGATTGCAAGAAATGGTGGCCAATTCTTCTTCACATAACTGATGTCCAATATTAGAAGGAACATTTATGAAGGGATTTTGAATCCAATCATATTTTGGCGTACACTTAAGGTGATAGTGCCATGGCATAGCAGTTGAGAATCACTGTTTTAGTGTAATGGGTAATGAGCTAATGTTCCGCATTTGTGATTTTGTCCCAGAATAGGTTTTAGTAATTACTTAATTAATAGATTGTGTTCCATACTACCGGCATCATGGATATCTCATCCTGATGTATTGTTTGTTTAGTGAACTAGTATCACAGTTCATTACTATTATGTCATGCATTCAATCCTTACTAGTTTCCTTGTACTTGTGCCTGACTTAAGCTCAATAAATACCAATGATAGTATTACTGTGGAGTGAGATAATCTGTCAGATTAGTACTACAGTTCAATCATTACTGATTGTCTACCTACCTGTGGCCTTGTGCCATACTAAGCTAAGCTTAGTAATTACCTTGGTTAATTCTTAGATGAGTGACTGCTTAAGGACACCAGGTGGTGCTCACAGATTGTTGACCTGTGTCAGACTAAACAGAGCTTAATGTATGAAGGATTAAGGTTATGAACTATTTGGGCACCTTCAATGGTTTGACAAATTAGTTGCTCATCAAGAGTTAAAAAAAAATTTCTAATTTTTCACCAAAAAGTGTTCAGATTATTTTTAGGTATTTTCAGTTATCTGATAACATTGATTGATAATTGTCCATAAGATTTTTGGATCAACTTCCTTCTTGTTGACTATTCATCATGAAGTGTGTTTAGGTTTGTTAAAAATTTGGCAGCTTTCATCTCTCCAGGTTTTTTTTTTCTTTTTCTTTCTTCCCGTTGCTCACTGCTGGTTGGGTGTTATCACTGCCATTAATTTGAAGTCCTTGAAATCTTAGAGGAGTTATGGTTAACAAGTATAACTTGTCAGCAATCAGAGATTGTTTTATAGGCTATGGGGTTCAAGCTAGTCTTCTGATCAAATAGCTGCTAATTTTAGACATCTGAAAAGAACAGAAAAGTACAATATTAATTTTCTTACTTTACATATATTATCAAAGATAATGCACCTCATCTATTTAACTTTGGAGAAATGATCCTTGGCCAGTGTAGCTGCCAATTTTATGATCTCTTTACTGAGTTCTTTGGCAATACATTTATCTAATGATTATTATAGAAAGAGTTGCTTTAACATTTATGTGCTATGAAGAAGTTCTGTGTCAACTCTTTTTTTTTATGTATGCTGGTATGAACCCCACTTCTAATTTCAGTCTCTGCCCTCTGATTTTAACGACTCAGATGGATTGTTTTTTTTTTTTTTTTTTTCTTTGTCCATTCATTGATATTATATGCAGGGCCGGATTATGACCTTTTGGGGCCCCTAGGCTAATGAAATTATGGGGGCTGCCCTCATACAAAGTTTCCAGTCTTGAATTTTTTTCTTTTTGTTTTTCACTTGTGATATATTCTAGTGGCATATACATAGCTTGAAGTAAACTTATTGTAAATTTTTCAAATAAACTAGAATAACTAATTTGTCAATAAAAACATTCAAGAAATATTTTACTGTTCATTGCAAATCAAATTAGCACATATTTTAAGAGAACTGTAGTAAAAAAAAAGATTTTTATAGCCAGTATTAAAACAATAAAACTGTCAAAATAAATGTCAGTTTATGAAAGCTATAACATCTAGAAAATAAAATTCACTGTCTTTTAAAAATTTCCTAAATTGAAACATTCTGAACTGAAATCAAACATGTTATCTACTTGAAATAATGACAAAAATTAAACATTCTTTTCCTTGCTTTACTTCTTGTAAAGTCAAATATGAGTTTTTCATATTGATATCATTTCAGTTTATGAAACTATTTAAAAGTTATAAACATCTAGAAAATTCAAATCATTGCTTTCTAAAAGCTGGAGGAGTGGGGGGGTCCTAGGCTGCAGCCTATACTAACCTAAACGATAATCCGGCCCTGATTATATGCGTGGACAAACTTTCATGGTTTGTGTATAGTGTATATAGACAATGATAAAATCTGTATTCATCTCTTTGCTCGATTGTCTTTTTTTCTTTACTAGAATACCATTTTGTTTTTTTTTGTTTTTTTTTAAATGGTACTGCATTAACATTTGAATGACACAGCAAGAATTTTGGTATTTACAGACCAACTGCAATGTATTCATTTCCTTATTAGGGAAGGTTAATTTTTCATTTCTTTTAGGAAATCCATATTGCATTCTGTGCAAAAGCTGGGGTTTGATGTGGTAAGTTATGATACCAAAAATTAGATAGTTTTTGCTTAAAAACTGACTTCAAAATTTCACTATTTCAAAAATAAATCCAAATAAAGTTGATATTTTTTGCATTAGATACATTGAATGGAAAATATATTCAAACCATAATTCTAATACCACAAGCAAAATATGCAGATTTGTTACTGGATTTGATAAGTAAAAACTGTAAAAAAAAAAAAAAATTGTAAAAGATTACAGAAAAGACTACTCAAGGAATAAGATTTATTAGATGATTTGTTAGATCATACTCAATAAAAATAAGAAATAGTTAAGTGTATATAACACCATGATACTGCTGGGCAAAAATTGTAAGACAAAATGTCTTAAATTTGCATTGATTATTGAAAATCGCACTAAAACTGCTGCACTCTATAACATATTACATCATAATATAGCTAAATTGTTCAGTATAATTTTGAAGTAAATGAAGGTCTTATTTGATGACAATGATTTAGCAATAATGTACATCTTGTACATATACAATTTGTAAAGCTTCAGTAAATTATAAATTTTATAAGGTTATGCTATAAGGCTTTCACGGATTACCAAAATGAAATTTTAATGCTATGATTTTTAATCTAGACTTAATATTTAAACTTGTTTCCTCAAAAAATGGCAACAATTTGTGGAAAAAAATATATTTTGTGTCATTATTTATCATGTCAAATCCCAACTTTCAAATTGAGTGCAATATCACGATTCCAAAATCAACATACATTATTACCTCATTGAATTTTTTTAGCCCAATATTGATCCAAACAACAAATGTGAAATTTTGTCTGAATTTCTGGGATGAGGATTTATTATTATTTACACTTTTTATATTTGGACTATTGTCTTCATCTTTGTTGTTGTTATCACAACGTTTCGGCCATTGTGCCCTCCTGCCTTCCTCAGGTGTATATCAAACCGGGTAACCTACAGGGAATTCTGAACTGAAAGCTTTATTTGATCTATAGGGGTAGACTGTTCTTGTTCCACTGCTCATGCATAGGGATATTGCCATTGTCCTGCAGGCTGAGTGAGTATAAGCATTGGTTTTATGAATTTGGTGACATAGTGGTCATGAGTTCAATCCCTGGGTTGGGCAGTGTGTACTTACATTCAGTGGATGCGAGTGAGCAATCACTAAACAGTACTAAATAAAAATGAGAATGATATCCCTATACATGAGCGGTGGAACAAGAACAGTGAATAATTTTGTAGATTAGCATTTGTTTGAACTTTCTCAAGCCACGTCATAATTGAAAAATATTGATTTTTATCAATTTAAAAGGAATGAGGTCCTGCTTATAATGTCGATGCAATGTCAAATTGATCCCTGACTTTTGCATATTCATCTGCACTTAATTTTTTTTTTTTTTTTATATATATGAAAATGGGCTTACATCATTAATATCTGTATATATTTTGTTAATTGATGTAGTGTCCTGGGTAAAACAATAAACTACATCCAACAGCAAGGCCTCTGATCAGGGGGTTCTGAGGAGTGTGCAACCAACACTTAATTGCTGGTGTTCCCAGGTCCACCAGTTAGGGTCCCAACTATGGGTAAATATTGAACCCTCAAACTATGAAAGTGTAAACATAGGTTTTAATACCAGCAATATATTTTTGAAGGGAAAAATATTACCAGTAATAAAAATCCTGTTGGTATTAAATAACCCATTGAGGTTGATATGTCGTAAAACAAAAACAATCCATTTGAAATTCTTTTAATTAAAAATGTGGTATTACTTTATATATAAAATGTTTGTTCATTAATGACACATTTTTGAAAAGAAAAAAAAATCTATTTCATCTAAATTACTTTTTAAAAATATCTCCTTAATATAAAATGCATAAAAATGCCTGCCTATATTTCTGATATGAGGTATTGTAACTACTTAAACTATTTATATTGTTTGGATTGTTGTCCTGATCTTTGTCATATTCACGTTTCCAAAGAGTTGCGAGTTCAATACCTGGCCACAGCAGATGTGAAAAAAAAAAAAAAAAATCAGCATTACTAGGGAATTAACTGAAAACTGAGATATCTAGAGAAGGTATGGCATGTGGAACTAGAACAATCTATCTCCTTGGACTAAATAAAGAGTTCATTTTGAATTTCCATTGTATATCACCTGAAGAAGGCCAGAATGTACAATGCCCAAAATGTGAATATGATAATAAAGATGAAGACAACAGTCTGAGCAATATAAATGGTGTAAATTGCATAAAAATGTATATATCTGTTCTTTATTTAAAAAGTCTGTTTTTTGTAAGCAGGTGTCATTGGTGTGAACTGAGTTTAAAGCTTGACATTAATAAACAAACAGTTATTTTCCAATAACTCTGTAAATGTCGAGTGATCAATTTTACACTGTATTGATATTATGCACAGGACCTGTCCTTCTCAAATGATAAAGAGACAATATTTTTCAATTCCAAAGTGTCACAGTTTAAAGCAGGTCAAAAGAATGCTAATCTCCAAAAAATATTTCCCCCAAATTTTTTCCCTACTTATTTTTATTTATTTTATGAGTGGACCTGTCTGCTTAAGTAGTACCCAGTGTTGCATCACTACTCTTAGTTAAACTAAAAGCAGCGTTAAGCAAAAGTTACATGTGTAAATGGCAGGTGTAAGGAAATGGAAGACAATTTCAAGGACGTAATATTTTATGCTTTTTGTGTTTTTTTTTTTATATATCTAAGTAACAAAGACAAAATACACAAGTATGAATGTAACCCCCCCCCCCAAAAAAAAAAAACTGAAAGTTAAGAATTGTGTGGGTGATGCATGTGTATGTATGGGTGAAAAGGTTCAGTCACCCAGGGAAAGATCACCATGCTCGGGAGAAGGTCCTGCTGGGTGTCGTCGCTACATGTTAAGTGGAAAAGAAAGGAAGTGTCCTGTTTTCATAGGTGCTTAAGGGGGGCCCTCTAACGACTTCTTGGCAAAGCTATGTGGGGATAACCCACACCAGCAGACGTGTTTCTCAGTTTTTGTTTCTTGAAATAAACTGTTAATACTCACTCACAAAATACTCACACACACACACACACACACACACACACAAAAAAAGAAAGTTATGTGCCATGCACGATACACGTTTAGGCAATCATGTACCTTTTGATACATCACTGACGAGGCAGATTTTTTTCCCTGCAGTAGGTTGCCATTTCTTTTTGCGGTAGACCAGTTGCCATCCAAGACTGCAGAACCCGGTCTGTCCTGCTATTTACCCATAGCTGAGGGCAGAAGAGGATTCATAACTTTCCCAAGGTTATTAGCACGTAAATGAATGTAATGGATTTGACTGGAATTCGAACTTCCTCAATCCGAGCCGCTATCCATTACTCCACCATTATTACATTGGGTAATTGTGGGCTACACAACAAATAAATGCTGAAAACACAGGCCTATTCTTCTACCATTGACACTGCATGACTTCATGAAGATGTGACGTGAACACCGCCTTAGAAGTTCCAAAGTGTTGATGCAGTTGATACTTGATGTGCAGCCAAAGATTTTTCATGTTTCGAGTACTGATAATGATAAATAACATCATGAGAGCATATCCTGTCGTAGCCACCTGAAACAATATGGCCTCCAGTCTGAAATGACAGTTTATTCTATGCTGATTGACTGAGGCAGGACTTTTAACATTATTTTATGACGTTTATGTGAAGGATTACCATAATTCTTACAATCCAAAATATGTTTTGCCTTTAAATAACTCACAAAGGGGTTCGTAAGTCATAAATCACTCAGTCTTGAAATAAGTGTGTCACATTTGTGATTATAATAAGTCATTGTATCTGAAAGTGACTAGTAAGAATAATAGTTCTTGCAAAAAAAAAAAAAAAAAAACATTTTTTATTTTTTTTACGGCTTTGCCAAAAAATATTTTTAGAATGTAAGATTTTTTTGAAGATGATAATTTATTGATACAAGTCCGACTAATTAACCCATTGAAGGGAAGAAAAGAGGTGGATTCATACATTTCTCAAGGGTATTTGTATATAACTGAATATAACAAACCCAAGTGGAATTAGAACTTAGCTCTCTGATATCCAATTCCAAGCTGTTATCCATTAGGCTTACAGCACTTGTATTCCTCTGCGGTCACCCATCTAAGTACTGAACAGACTTGACGTTGCTTGATTTTGGTGATCATATGGAAACCGGTATTTCAACATGATATTACCGTAAGCCTAAAAAGACCAGAACAATTGGAGATCTGAAGAAAAATTGATGTGTTAAAAAAATGTTACCCTGGGATCAGTCAATTAGATTATTTCTGGGAGATTTTTTTAAGTCAATCGCCTTCGCAATTACAATGCTCGATATCAAGGGAATGATGATGATGATGATGATCATCATCATCATTATAATAATAAAAATGCTTACTGAAACTAAGCGAATACTGTCTAGTCAGTACTACTTTGGTTTGTTATCTACAAGGAATAAATATCTACACTACAAATTTTATTTTGGAATGATATCTCCATAGGAAAACACATTATAACATATATATAACAAAAAGAAATTGTAATTAAAATATTAAAAATGAGTTTTATCTTCTAACGATAAACGTGTATATCAGCTAAAATATATACACTACAAATTTTAATTTAGAATGGCATCAACATAGTAAACATTAAAAATATATATAGCATAGAGAAAATGTAATTAAAAGGTTTAAAAATTTTCTATTAATAATATTCTAGCGATAAACAGCACGTACATCGGCTAAAAATAGATTGCATGCCAAAGAAGATTCATGAAATGTAGATCACATACCAAAGTAGATTCATCACACGTAGATCGCAATATAAAGTGTAGACTTGTGCGTTAGAGCATTGCCCTGATGAAACAAGATCCTTTTCGTCAGTTTTCTTGAACGTTTGGCCTTGATAGCCTTTCGTAACTGCCTCAGCATGTTGGCATAATACTCTCTATTGGTGGTATTGCCCTTTTGAAGATAAAAACAATGCCTTTTTCATAAAAAACAAACAAACAAACAAATAAACTGTGCTTATGCAGATGAAACGACTTTGACCTTCTTTGTAGTTCGTGAGGGGAGGTGTTTCCACTGCATGAATTGTCTTTTTGTCTCTCGCTCAAAGTGATGAACAATAAAAGAAGAGGAATCAAGATGGCAGTAGATAATGATTGACATTGCATTTAAATTTTTGAAGATTAAAGTTGGCTGGAAAGCATGAAATCATAAGAGAGTTTTACAAGCGAGAAAAGAAACTGTTAACATAGAACTTACGGTTACATCTAGCTGCCATTTCAACTGTAAAATGATGCGGCCTTGTTTGGCGTTTCTTAAATGCCATGAGATAAGATGTCGCCTGATGAACATGCACTACAGCTAAAAACAGAGCATTTATCCCTGCAAGAGTCGACTGTCTAATCTAACGCGCGGCGCGTCCTGTCTAGCAAGATACAAACAGACGTTCGGATTTTTAACTTTAGACAACAAAAATAGAATAAAACCATGCATTCATATATAACTCTGAAGTGAAATTTATTTCTAAAGCATGTGTACTCGTTCTCCTTTACACCGTTTTTCAAAGTCGGTGCAAGGGTCTCGTCACCCCCCGAATCTATAATAATCTATGACGTTATTATAACCTAATTATGTACAATAATGGATCATATGCAATATAGGTGAACAATTCAACTAGAAAAATTGAAAATAAATACAATGTATCTAAATACAAATTAGAGACATGTCATAATAGATCATTCCTCCATCTTAAATAAATCAATGTTTTGTGCCAATTTTTAACATCAACTTGAGATTTTCCTTGTTAAAAAGTTGAATAATCTAAACACATTCAACATTATGGATAAAACAGTGAATTTTATATAATGTTTTTAGAAACTTAGCAGGAGCAAAACAAATTCATAAACTTGGACTCCACAATGACGTCAAAATCCACGAAAATTTGCATCCTTTAATAGTCAGTTGTGATTAGTCTAATTTCTAACGTATATAAATGTAGGTAGAAAAAAAAAGCAAATATTGATAAGTTAGCGAGGGTCACAAAGCACTGTCCGGGTCCCCAATCAGGCTTAGAATCCTCCTCTCGGTCGGGGAGTTCTGAGTTAGTACGCACCGGCCCTGCTGATTTTTATCATTACCTGGATCTTTCTACTACTCATTTTGGGAATCCAAGCCTTAAATAATGAAACAACTCTAACGTTTCATAGCAAAACAAATGAAAGAACTTGTTTCCCAACCTATTAACGAAATTATTTTAATGACTTCCCACGAAATCCAGTCGGATGTAAACGATAGATAAAAAAATGATCAATTTGGGAAGAATTAAAAATTCTTTAAAAAAATCACGAATCCCGTGAATCAAATGCTGTGAAGAATGTTGTTGCTCAATGGGCAAACCCAATAGAATATTCTGAACACGTTCCTTCAAGAAAATTCCAAGATTCTAGTTGGAATTGAGGCTAGGTGAATGCTCTGGCTACGTGTTAAATCCATCTTTCCTAGAAATCTTTTCCATACCTAGTCTACTTGTCCACGAAACTCTACAAAAACAGACAAATCTTCCAGTGTTTGAAAGTAATTACGTATTTCACCACGGTGAATTATGAAGGAGTTTGGTACGTTTCGGCATCACCCATTTGGCTTGGCTGATTCGGCGTCAGAAAAATAATTGGACTATTCGGCACAGACTGTTTCGACGTTATTGTCTTTGACAGGAGGCAGTCCCCCTCATCCCAAAAGGCATTGATAACAACCAACTTTCAATATGACTTTTTATTCATTTAAGGATCTAAGGATCCTATTAAAGCACTAATAGAATAATGTAAATTAAAAACTTATATTAAAACATTGTATTTAAAAAAAACAAAAAAAACAAAAAAAACAAAAGAAAAAGCTTTTTAAAGCTATTTAATGTTAGAAATGACTTCTTCATTTCGTAATTATGAGCAACATACTTCAGGAATTCAATAGGCTCTATGTAATCTCACTTTACATCGATCTTTCTGTTCACATCGCCAAAACTTGAATTAAGGATTTCTTTTGCTTATTGCGTCAAAAATAAAAAAGGTATCCATCGTGTATCACTTTGTTTCTTCCACGTTTTGATAAAATATTTGCTTCCATTTCGAATAAAAGGGGATTTGACGACTGAAAAAGATGAAACTGCACTGAAGGAAATACGATATAGAAATACCAACAAAGTAGACGTTTTCTTAAATATAAAAATACCTCCAACGACCCCTTTTCTTAAATTTAAAAATGCCTCCAACTACTCTTTTTCTTAAATTGGACTATTCGGGCATATAACGACGAAGTACTGAGAGAGAGAGAGAGAGAGAGAGAGAGAGAGAGAGAGAGAGAGAGAGAGAGAGAGAGAGAGAGAGTCGGCTACGCCGAGACGTTCCACTCCCCTTATGAATGGACCGACCAAAGAAAATATTTCAAATTAGCTTTTCATCTCTAATATCTAACAGTGTTTCGTTTATAGTTTATTTCAGAGTGTCATTGGGGAAAATAACAAAGTGGGAATTTGTGTTCTGTATGAAGTTTCGTTTGAGAACCGAACAACGTTCCACCATTTGCAGCAATCTTTTAATCAAGAATGACAACCTTTCATTTTTGCATTGCTTTGTAACATGTGGTAAAATGGGTTTTTCATGTCAACAGAAAATGAAAAAGAGAATGGTTATCACAAAAACCAGTACCAACACCAAAACTAGGAATCTATCTATAGGGGTCCTCGCTTTAGGTCTGGTGGAATCTGAAATTTTTTTGTCTATTCCGAGCTACTGCAACATGGAAGGACCATAACTGTAAATGGTTATTGCCAGCAATTTGATTACGTACACGAAATATTACGTCGAAAGTATACTGCATTGGTAAACAGAAAATTCATATATCAATGCAAGGGCACGCCCCGCAAAACAAACCCAAGAAAGAATAAAACCGTTAGGATGGGAGGCTCTATAGGAAAGACATTTCTAACACAATTAGATACCCACATACTAAAACACACCCAATTATTTTCTACCCAATAACAGGCATTACAAACACGCCAAAAGATTACATGTCGTTTAAATCAAAGTGTCTATTGGTTAGAAATTAACATTACCATATGAAATATTTGGCCAATCAGAGAAAAATTAAAAACCTATTTTTTCTCGAGCCTACTTTCGGGAAAGATTTCTTATAAAATCCCACAGATTACGACTTTCAAGCAGAGACCAAGCAGTTCAATGAAGCAGAGATGCGACACTCACCTTAACAAGCGCGTGCTCAAAGAAACATGTATCGGCGACTTCAAACGAACCATCTCCAGCAACAGCAACAAAGACGGTCAGTGAATTTTCGGTAACGATAAAAGTCTTTTCTCAATTACAACTTTTTGCGGAGAGCCAAACTATTTAAAAATCTTGTCTAAGCCTCAGGTTTTTCTGTGAACCAACTACCCAAAAACTTTAACTCAACTAAAGACTATTTTTAATACTTCTTAACTCTTGAATTCATATACTGGCTGGTCCGAAAGTCTTGTCACTCCTTGCATAATATAATTTTCTATTTCAAATGGCTGACACAAGCTCCTACAGTTTGGAAGAGAGACTGCTTGCAAGTACATGGACATATGATCGTGTGCATTCTGGATGGGCAACATAACTTCACTTGTTCTTATTACATTTTGGTAGGGGTGACAAGATTTTCAGAGCACCCTGTATATTTGTAAATACAAATGATTTATTTAACAAATATACTCACCAGATTTAAAATCAATAGATTTCTTTTTGTTTCAATCTCTAGAACATTTCATAAGTGATAGAACATTCAGAAAGAATGAAGAGGTAGAGAAGAGTCTGTCGGCCTTTTTTTTCCTGGGAAAACCCAGATTTATTTAAACATGGAATCGAAATTTTTCCTTTTTGTTGAACTTCTAGCCGTCGAAAATGAAGATAACATTTTTGATAAATTATATTTAAATAAATTTAATTTCCATTTGCTTTTACATCTTTTCCGGTAAAGTGTAATTATTTTCCGAACCACTTAATTAACTGAATGTTTGTACACAGCTCGCGCCCCGAACGTCTGAAAAAGCAGAGATCACGTGTAGGAATGACAGAGTATTGGAAGTCTTGGTGTCACATGTCGGAGGAGTAGAAGACTTAATGTTATTGTCAGAGTATTGGAAGACCTGATGTCATTA